AAAGAGTGTTGAATTTTGTCAGATGCTTCCTCTGTACATTGAGATGATCATTTGGCTTTTGTCCTCTGTTCTTGGGTGTGTTATATTGTTTGATTCATATGCTGAACCAACCTTGCATTCCTGGGATAAATCCCACTTAGTCATAGTGTATGATTCTTTATATGCTTCTGGATTCATTTTGCTAGGGTTTTGTTGCAGATTGTTGCATCTATATTCATAAGGAATATTGATCTGTAGTTTTCTTGTGATGTCTGTCTGGTTTTGGTATCAGGTAATCCTGGCCTCATAGAATGAATTGGGAAGTGTTGCTTCCTCCTCCTCCTCCTCTTCTCCTTCTTTTTCCTTTTTTTGTTTTTTGTTTTTTTTGAAGTTTGAAAAGCATTGGTTCATGATATACTTTTATTCAAGGAAAAATAATATCTGCTCACTTCAGGTGCCCAAGGGACCATTCAGAACCTTGAACCTTGACTTTAGTGGGTATTGGCCTTGTGTTATTGATGAGCTTTTTTCCGATTTTATCCCAGTGAGGATGGGAGGTTGCCAGACTCTTTCACAAGTATTAATCCCAGTAGTTTCCAGTGTAATTCTGGTTGTTTGCCATCCTCAACAGTATTGTGAGAGCCTGTCTTCTGGAACCTGTCATCTTAAAGGAGTGCTTTATAGCTGGCCTTAGAGACAGTGAAAAAAATTCAAAGATGATCTCTAAGAAGTTATTTTGGTAGCTTTTTATTTTATTGATGCTGTGCAGAGCAGACCTGAAAATACCTTTCATTTTTTCTTGCATTTTCAACATTAGAAACAGCTATTTTAGCTGTTTCTCAGGATCATTCTGTGGAAATATCTCATTGATTCCTTTGTCATCGAAAACTATACAATTTTATCACTCAAAGCCACAGTGAAAGCAAGAGGCATGGTCCTCAAACCACCACTGGGCATCTTTCTAAGCCCCCTTGTGATGCAGCCCTCTTCTCACACACAGGTACCACGTACACAGACTTCTCGGCCGGAATCTCCAGGGATGACCAGCCCCTCCCCGCGCATCCAGATAATCTCCACTGATTCTGCGGTAGCCTCACCTCAGCGCATTCAGGTACCTGCACCAGTCCCACTTGGTTCCAGCCACCTGCCTGAGGGCAGACCTGCCTTCCCTGAATCGTTTCTGAAAACAAACCTGCCTAAGGGTTTCACTAAGGAGCTGTGCTTCTTAGGCATCAAGTATAGTACAATCTCATTTATTTTTTAAAAGATAAAAGAAGAAAGATTTTACATTTACTAAGCTGACTTACTTTTAATCTAAAAGTCTGAACTGTCGCTTCCAACTATTGGAATGAAGTACCATTTATTACTTTTGTGCTTCAAAATTGAGAGCTAGTATGTCTTAGTAGTTAAGAGTGTGGACCTCCACTTGAAGTCAAATCCAGTGCCCCATTTTATGGCTCTTCTAATGTCTCACTTTTTTCATTTAGAAAATGTACATAGTAGTAGTACTTACCTCATGAGGTTATTAGGAAGAATCAGTGAATATTGCTTGTAAAATGCTTGAAACGGTGCTTGGCACATAATAACATTCGGTATGTACTAATTATCTATAATAACTATTATTGCTAGTATTGTTGTTATTGTTAACTAATTGATGATATTCACTTAGGGGAAGTTTAGTCTTCCCAGGGCTCTGAACCTGCCTCTTTCCCACTGAACAAAGAGAAGGTACATGTATCATGATCAACAAGCAAGAAGAAGGGAAAATTATTGATGACACACATACATTAAAGATTCATATACACTACCAAACGTAAAATAGATGGCTAGTGGGAAGCAGCCGCATAGCACAGGGAGATCAGCTCGGTGCTTTGTGACCACCTAGAGGGGTGGGATAGGGAGGGTGGGAGGGAGGGAGACGCAAGAGGGAAGAGATAGGGGAATGTATGTATATGTATAACTGATTCACTTTGTTATAAAGCAGAAACTAACCCACCATTGTAAAACAATTATACTCCAATAAAGATGTTTAAAAAAAAAAGAGATTCATAGTTATCTCAAAAGGCCAAACCAAAACACATGCACAGAAATGAACGGCAGAAAAAACTCTAGTTATGTAACGTAAGTTTGAGAGAATAGCAGGTGGACAGGTATTTGAGTGAATAAGTAAAGGATTGCTTTCATTTACAGTTTCTTTATTTTAAAACTCAGTATTAAGTGAGTAGTATGCTGTAATAAGTAGATGACTTCCATAGTGTTCACCCATTCTTAAAAGTGATTTTATGGATTATTATAAACTAAGCATAGAAGAGTTCTAATAAGTAAAGTGAAATGAGTTGTTAAAAATTATATTTCCGTCATGTCTGTATTACATAATATTTTATCATAAATACCAAAGTTCATACACTTCTTAACTTCACACCAAGTAGGAAACACATATCTGAGTGTCTAGAAATTCAGAAGTAATTGGTCCAACGTTAATGAGATTTTACTGTTCCTCAGAATTAGAAACTTTATATAGCTAAGTTATTTTTTTCTCTTTTGCTTTGTTCTTATTTGCTGATTGTGACTTGAAAATGAGTCCTTTATAGTTTTATGCAGCAGGTGTTAGGATCCTGCCTACATAACTCTCCCAACTCTAACTAACTAGGAACTAACTTTGTACATTTAACCATGGATGTTATATTATGGTTTCACAACCATCTGAGGGCAGATGAGACATAGAAAGTTCTTCCAGAAAACTCCATCGATAGCTAGTTTGTGTTTCAAGAGAGGGTATACAGCCCCCTGTATTGGTATAAGAAGGATCTTTCTGTTTTCCTGAGGGGTATTCAGGCATCCCATTCCATACAGTGGGGCTGTTCCCATGCCCTGGTGCTTGGCCCATGGTTCCACCACTGTCCTGGCTACAATGCAGTAAGATTCTTGAGCAGCAGTCTTGTAGAATAGATCTTTGGTGTTGAGCTTTCAGTTTCTCTAGGGAAGACAACCCATTAGCATGAGTTTTATGTAAAGTAAGTATAGTTGAAAATCTTTCCATTGTGCACTGTCAATAAAATTAGACATACCTTGGGACTTCCCTGGCGGTCCAATGGTTAAGACTCCATGCTTCCACTGCAGGGGACACGAGTTCGATCCTTGGTTGGGGAACTAAGATCCCGCATGCTGTGCTGTGGGGCAAAAAAAAAAAAAAAAAAAAAGGGACCTACCTCGGTGCAACAGAACTGACTGTTTTTCAAGATTTGGTTTTTTTGAAGGAAAGTTATTGGTCATGGGTTGGTTTCTGGGTTCTTGATGTTGGTGCTATGGCTTTGATGAAGTTTTCATTTCTAGCCCTGACTTCAGTGATGGATCTCTGATCCCCTGAGGTGTGGGGAAAGAATACATTTTCTGATATTTTAATGAATAACAGTGCTCTGAACTCAAATAGTGACTTGTGTGATAAGGTTGGGAGGGAAAGATTATTCAGTAAGGATGGCAAGCTATGCAACACTTAGGAGCTTTGGCTCTGAATGGAACAGATTTTAGGGTCAAATCTTGCTTCCACTCAGCACTGTGACCCTGGGAAACGTTTCTGTAACATCTATAATTGTAAAGTGACAGCAGTAACAGTACCTGTTTTATAGGATTGTAAAAGGATTAAGAGATACTGCCTATAAAGCTGTAGGAAGTAGATGTCAATAAATGTTAGCATCTGTGTTATATAATTTTTTAATGTTTTATTTTCATATAAGTTCAAACTTAAGGAAAATAATACATATAAATCCTGTGTCCCCTTTACACGGATTCGCCAGTTGTTGCCGTAACATTCTGAATGTATGTATAATGTGTTTTTTTCTGAATCATTTGAGAATAAAGTGGAGACATACGCCTCTTTGCCCTGGATACTTCAGCATGTATTTTCTCTTACATAATTACAATACAGTTATCAAAATCAGTAAATTTAATATTGAATCATGCCATTATCTAGTCCATAGTCCAAAATTTCATCAGTTTTCCCAATTAAATCCTTTTTAACTGTTTTTCCCATTCCAGGATTTATTTTTATTTTTAATAATGATAGCAAAAATTAAGGTGTCAGTCAACACAAGCCCAACATATCTAGTTGTGCAGACCAACAGAGGGCTGATCTGATGATGGACTTGTGTTCATCAGTATAATGTCATCCTAATGTCTGCAAAAGGGCTTTGGGGCCAAGTGCGAAGGGTAGTGGTCCTCAGAGCAGGAGAGGTAGCCTTGTGACTGGGGATGAGAGCTGTTGTTTTTTGGGGTACAGACGTCTAGGGCAGAAACTATGGGAGGAAGGAGATGGAGATAAGAAAAGCTGTAGGAGAACACCCGCTTGTCTGAAAATGAAGCTTAGTCGGAGCCATGCCATCACAAAATCTAGCTTCTCAGTAAATTTCATGGGTTTTCATCATATGTAGTCTTTTTAGGCCAGTGGTTTTCAAACTGTGTTCTTTACTGTTTCCCAGATTACACAAACATTACGTTCAAATTTCATTTTTTAGTCCAGCTTTCAAAGCAATTAAAGTAGATTAAAAGAAAAATACACTTGAACGTGTCATATACCAAATTTGACATGCTGGAGGTCACTGGTGCACTCACTTGTAATCTGTGTTCATTCTCTTTGGGGCGGATCTTGGCTTAAACCTTCTTTTGCCATCTCCGTGGATTTTAAGGTTTTCCAGAGCTATTCCTCCACACTCCCCATTTCACATTTATGTTTTCAGGAGAGCATAATTATACTCATTGTTTGACTGAAGGAAATGTTTAAATTTGAGCTTATAAAATACATTTATATAATACAGTGCTTTTTTGTCTACTTTATTTTTTGAGGTTTCACATGTTACTAGAAAAGACTTCTGCTGTTTATATGTTTTTTAAAAGTTTGAAATCCTTATTACATTCCCCAGGGGACTGCATCTTGGGCTCTTGTAGCATCCTCCTTCCCTAGGTCTCTCTTCTACCAGCTCTTTATTTCTGCACATCCTTCTTGAGCAGCCAGTACCTGTTCTCTCTCCTTTCTCCATCCGCTACCATCTGATATTTCCTTTCTTGCTCTGATATTCTAGTGGCCCCTCTCAGGTACTTGTAGGAGTTGTCTGTTTGTATGTGCTGACTGGGTACTAGTTGCACACTGTAACAAAGTCACACCATACAGAGTAAAAGACGAGTCTCCCTCCCTCCCTCTTCGTGGAGTCACTCATGTCTCTCCCAAGAAAAGCTACTGTTACCATATTGCATATTCATTCTTTCAGAGATGGGCTCTGCATCTACACCTGCAAGCATACATGTAAACAATACAGCATATTTTTACACTCCTGTCGACATTCTGCCCACACTGCTCTGGACTTCACTCTCTTTTGGAGGTATTTCCCTGTGGTACAAATAAGCTGCCTCTTCCTCTTGAGTGGCGGTTTGATATCCCATTTTTTGGATGCTGTAATAAATAACCTTTTACCTGCTTAATTTAGGACATGTGAGAGTATTTCTGTAGGATCAGTTCCTCAAAGTAGGATTGCTGGAAGAGTGTGTCATGTGTAGTTTGTTCATTTTGTTTGTTTGTTTTTTTAAGAAGGAATGTTATCTTTTATTTAGTTAGTTAGATTTGGCTGCGTTGGGTCTTCGTTGCTGCACGGGTCCCCCTCTAGCCGCAGCCAGCAGGGGCCACTCCTCACCGCGGTGTGCGGGCCTCTCATCGTGGTGGCCTGTTGTTGTGGAGCACGGGCTCTAGGCGCACCGGCTCAGTAGTTGTGGCTCACGGGCTCTAGAGCACAGGCTCAGTAGTTGTGACGCACGGGCTCAGCTGCTCCACAGCATGTGGGATCTTCCCAGAAGAGGGATCAAACCCGTGTCCCCGGCATTGGCATGTGGACTCAGAACCACTGTGCCACCAGGGAAGTCCCTTATGTGTAGTTTTGACAATAGTTGCCAGACTGCCTTCCAAAGAGGTTCCACCAACTTATACTCCCACCAGCCTGGTATGAGAGTGCCCGTTTCCTTACACACTCAGCTATATATTTTGATATATATATGTGTGTGTTGATACATATATTTGTGGCCCAGAATGTGGTCTGTCTTAGTGAATGTTCCATGCAGGCTTGAGAAGAGTGTATATTCTGCTGTTGCTAGATGGATGATTTTACACATGTCAGTTATATCAAGGGCGTTGATAGTGCTCCTCAGGTCAACTATATCCTTATGGATTTTCTGCCTGCTTGATCTGTCAGTTGCTGACAGAGGAGTGATGATAACTCCAACTATAATGGTTGATTACTCTATTTCTTTTCAGCAGTCCTATCAGTTTTGTTTTTTTAAATTTTATTTATTTATTTATGGCTGGGTCTTCTTTCCTGCGCACAGGCTTTCTCTTGTTGCGGTGAGCGGGGGCTACTCTTCGTTGCGGTGTGCAGGCTTCTCATTGTGGTGGCTTCTTCTGTTGTGGAGCACGGGCTCTAGGCGCACAGGCTTCAGTAGTTGTGGTGCGCAGGCTCAGTAGTTGTGGCGCACGGGCTTAGTTGCTCTGTGGCATTTGGGATCTTCCTGAACCAGGGCTCGAACCTGTGTCCCCTGCATTGGCAGGCAGGTTCTTAACCACTGCGCCACCAGGGAATCCCCTTAAAGGTCTTTTGGCCATTCACTTGGAAGTGATGATGTGCTGGGACTGGTGTCCAGCCTGTGGCTCTCTGGTCTTGCATTCACTGGGCCCTCAGCCTGCAACCCACTCTGTCACAGCTCTGCATGGCTTCCTCTCTTGCCTCATTTGGGTCTTTGTCCACCGTCACTCCCTCAGAGAGGTCTTTGCTCTTGAAGCTGCCCCCCTGCCTCCTTCCCCATGTCGTGTTCTGTCCATTACCCTGCTTTTTTGTTTCCTCTGTGTTTCCTTCCTGCCTCTTCATGGCAGGGTACACAGTCTGTCTTTCCTTTAGCAGGCGAGCTCCCCACCGTGTTCACACTTCCATCTCTAATACCGAGAATAGTGCTGGTCACCTAGTGGGTGCCCAGTAAACACGTGTTAAGTAATTGACTCTTTCCTTGCTTGTGTCATTTTCTTTTGAACCTACCAGCATCGTTGGATTTTCCGTATTGGACTGTTGGCAAAGCCGAAGGACTCTGTGTGAGTTTGCTGTCTGAACCTTGGGATGCCATGACCCAAAGCAGTTCTATCAAGAGGTGGCGCAGATTCCAGGCATGTTGTCCATAAATGTGCTGTAGGGAGCTGGGGTACAATCAGAGACACAGTATGTCTCCCCTTCCCAAGGCCCAGCGTATGCACCGCAAGAGTCCTGTCTGCAGTGAGGGCCTGCTGGGGGTCCTCAGGTTGGGCACTTGCCCTGGAAGAGAGACAGGAACGGGCTAGAACAGCTTCAAAGAACTTCACGAGCAGGAATAAGAAAAGTCGCTCTTACGTAGCAGCTATCTCAATTGTGACTGATGCACTTAGGCAGGGATGCAGGGAAGAGGTGAGCTATGGCAGTGGGGCGCATGACTGGTGGCCGTCCCTGGAGAAATGAGGCTCAGGGCTTCTCCGGAGTCAGCGCCCACTGCCTCCAGGGCTTCCACAGTCTTTTATTCACATCTTCTCTCCATGTGCCAGGCCCTGTGCTGGCCCTGGGGATGCAGCCCTGAAACAGGTGTTATCTCTATGCTTAGAGACCTCAGAGTCAAGAGGTGGGAGAAGTTGGATGTGTGTCAGCAAGGGACTCCCTGCATTCTGTCACTGCAAGGCAGAATTATTTATAGGACCTTACCTTCAGAAATAGCCATTTAAAGCAGCCATTCTCAGGTTTTGGGGTTTCAAAAAGTTAGGGTAGGGAATTCCCTGGCGGTCCAGTGGTTAGGGCTCCACGCTTCCACTGCAGCGGGCCTGGATTCGGTCCCCTGGTCAGGGTACTAAGATCCCGCATGCCGTGCAGCACGGCCCAAAAAAAAAAAAAAGTTAGGGTTGCCCACATTTCTTATTATGCCTAGGACAAGAATTTTTTTTTCTTTTTTTTTTTAGTTAAACCTATCATCTACTACTTATTACTGTCTTCATTTCATAACAGAAAGGGCCTTTCTTTGTCCAGGTTTGTTGAACTATAATTGATATGCAGCACTAAGTTTCAGGTATAGAACATAATAACTTGATTTACATATGTTGTGAAATGATTGCCACAAGTTTAGTTAACATTCACCATCTCATATACATGTAGAAAAAAGAAAAAGGAAAAAAAGTGTTTTTTTCCTTGTGATGAGAACTCTAAGGATTTACTCTCCGGACACCTTCAAGTTGACCACCTTCATACAGTTTCCCTTCCCTCCACTTCCAAAGGGCATTTTAATTCTAAAAGTAGGAGGGATGATATCATCCTAGAATAAAATTAGCTGTATGAAAACCAGTTTCTGAAAAGCTCCCTGTTGTTTTCTCTTTCCCATTTCACCGGCACTGGTGAAACTGTCCTGGACCAGCACTGACTCCAGGCCGGCGTTGGCAGCCACTGCACATGCTCCGTGAGAGCAGCCTCCGTGTTGTGTCTTGTAGATCGTGACAGACCAGCAGACAGGACAGAAGATCCAGATAGTCACCGCAGTGGACGCCTCCGGATCCCCCAAGCAGCAGTTCATCCTGACCAGCCCAGATGGAGCTGGAACTGGGAAGGTGATCCTGGCTTCCCCGGAGACCTCCAGTGCCAAGCAGCTCATATTCACCACCTCGGACAACCTCGTCCCTGGCAGGATCCAGGTAAGACCTGTTGACAGGTGTTTGTTTCAGCACTTCTGCTACTGCACTTGTTCTTGACTCTTACCTCTAGGAGGCCAAATCCATCTCTAGTAGGTCCTTTGGGGACCTGCAAACATGGTGGGTTGCTGCCCCGGCTAAAGTAAAAAACCAGCAAATGAGTGGCAAGGCCGAGAAGGCAGCCGCTGCAGTGCTCAGATGGATGGAATTTGAGCTGGCAAATCAGCGGTCCCACAGGAGACCCACCTGAGCAGTTGGCATTAGCCACTGGAGAATGGTTCTCAACCAAGGCCACGTGGCGGCAGCCCTTGGCCTGTGATGCTTTAGGGGCACCACCAAGGGCTGACCACAGTCAGATGAGGACCGACTTGTTCTAACTCTTACCTTGTACTGGCCCGGCTCTTTATTCTGATCTTGTTCCTGTGAACTGCTGCCTGTGGGCCCCTCCGTTCTGCCCTGGTTCTCCCTCCTCTGGCAGGCGGGATGGGGTTGGGGCAGGTACAGGAAGGCGGAGAGCAAGGGCTGGAAGAAGAGCAGGGTTGTTGGGAAGCATTGAACTTCCAAGTCCAACACTCAGAGAAGCAGGGACTCAAGACCAGGGTCCCATGGTGGCCAAGCATGGAGCATGTTTAGTCCAGGTCAGGGTGCAATCCATGGTCTTGTTTGGTTCTGGTTTTTAAGTTTTTAAAAAATTTGTGGTAACATATAACACTTACTATCTTAATAGTTTTTAGGTGTCCAGTTCAGGGGCATTAAGGACATGCACACTGTTGTGCAGCCATCACCACCACCCATCCCCAGAACTCTTCATCTTCCCAAACTGAAACTCTGTCCCCACTGAACAACTCCCGTTCCCCACCCCTCAGCCCCTGGCTACCACTATTCCACTTCCTATGGGTCTGACTACTCTAGGGACCTCACATAAGTCAAATCCTGTAATATTTGTCCTTTTGTGACTGGCTAATTTCACTGAGCACAATGTCCTCAAGGTTCATCTGTGTTTTGTCTTATGTGTCAGAATTTCCTTCATTTTAAAGGCTGAATAATATTCCACTGTATGTATAGACCACGCTTGGTTTTTCCATTCATCTGTCAGGGGACACTTGGGTTGCTTCGACCTTTACTGTGAATAATGCTGCTAAGAATCCATGCGTATTGCAGGGAGATTTCTACTATGGAGAAAATTCAGGAAGGAAAGGGTTTTTTTCCTTCCACTGGAGCTGGGTTCAGAACACCAATATGTTCAGACATATGTTGAGACACCTCATAATGCCATTAGTAAATACTTCCTAGTGTACATTCTGATCATCTGGAATCAGAGTTCCTCCCTGCTTGCTTCGACTCCTTGTTTTTGAAAGGATGGCTGGTGATTCTGTTGCATGTCTTATAAGAGGTCATTGCACATAATGATTTCTGTATATATTCTCACTGTACATAAATCATTTTAAGGCTTATTGTTAGTACATGATTTAATAACAGCTATTTTTCACTTTTTCATGTTGAAACCAGTTACATTACTCTTCAGATAAGCAGCACTGTGGGTCACCTAGAAAGTCACCTACAAATGAAAGAGAAATAGCAGGTTTCAGAGGCCACCTATCCTAGTCCCTCCACTGCCAGCTGCCTGACGAGAGAGCTAGTTATTTAGTCAGTAAAGCGTAATTACTTTTCTGCCAAGTAAACCTCTCTGTGTACTTTCAAGCTGTTTCATGAGAATAGAGAAGCAACCAACAAGACCTTGAGTATCTTCACGTTGGAGTATCCGCCTGTGAGTCCCCACACGGCCCCTAGCCCTAGGTGGTTGGGGTGGCCAGATAGGAGGGTAGGTCCCTGAAAACCAGTGTCTGACCCTGGACAAGCCCACCGCCACCCACCACCGCTCGAGGGGCTTGGTCCAGATGAGCGGCCACGCCATTCCTGGTGGCAGATTCAGTTGTCACGTGCCATTTTCCCAGTTCTGCCCAGAGTTCTTAGAAACCCGAGATTAGGAATTCACAGTTCAACATGACTTTGCTTAGTGCTCTGGGTTTTCATCAGCACTCTGCTTATTTCCTGATTCTTCTTAGATCGTCACGGACTCTGCTTCTGTGGAGCGTCTTCTGGGGAAGGCCGACGTCCAGCGGCCCCAGGTGGTAGAGTACTGTGTGGTGTGTGGCGACAAAGCCTCAGGTGAGTAACCAAAGGCCATGCTGGGTGCACATCAGGGGCCAACATCATGCACCAAATCCGGGGCGGGGGAGGGTTGTAGGTTTCAAAACATGAACTCCACTCTTCTTATTGGGGTGGTGATGTAAATAAGCAAATCAGTTTGTCAGATTATAAGAATCAAAAGGAAAAATCAAGAAATTATTTCTGTGATTTGTAAATCTTGGTTGGGTGTCAATTATTTTTGTACTAGTAAGAAAGAAATTGGGACTTCCCTGGTGGTCCAGTAGTTAGGACTCCACACTTCCACTGCAGGGGGTGGGGGTTCAATCCCTGGTCGGGGAACCAAGATGTCACATGCCACGCACCCGCCCCCCCGAAAAAAGAAAAGAGCAATCATTTCATTAGTCTGGTTAATATCTGCTCAGTTCTTTGCTGTTTCACAAGATGTGTTTGTTGTCTCTCCCTCCCTCGTCCTAACTGTAGCTGCCTCTGTCATGCCCCCACTATAACCCAGTGTGATAAACAGGAGGGGGCATGCGATTCTGGCTGGAGTCCCAGGGTCAGGAAAGGCCTGAAGTCACATTGGTGACCTTGATGGTTGAGTGTGTGCTGTCAGGTAAAGCAGAAGGGTGTTCCAGCTGGCGGGACCAGGGCCTGGAGAGTTTAACATCCATACCCACCATGTCTCTGGGGAAGCACTCCTGGGCTTCCATGGTTAGGAGGTGGGTACAAGGAGACGAAAGAAGATGTCTGGCCCCAAAGCTCAGGCTTCAGCCTCTGCTAACAGTGGGAGCCATAGAGGGTAAGTGATGCTAGGGACACTGACCTGAGTTCTGAGATGACCACTTGGCTCTGCTTTATTCTGTGGTCACTACATTCATAGGAACTTTGGATACTTTGTGGTCCTGGTTTTAAAGAAAAAAAAAAAAAGTGCTGAGCCAAGCCTCTTAAGAGGAAGACAACCCCAGGCAAGCACCAACTGAAGGCCGGAAGCTCCAGCCCCGCCCGCTGATGCCTCAGGTGCTGTGCTCTCGCCCCTTCTCTGAAGCCCTCATCTGCCCCAGCAGGCAGGGGCCAGCGCTGCCTCTGTCCTCATCACCCTTTTGTTCAGATCTCTGGGCACTGGATGTGTTCTTTTCTAGTTGCTTCCTTACAGGCCTGTCTTCCCCTCCAGAATGTGCCCTTTTTTTTAGAGCAGGAACCGTGTCTGACCCCTTCACCTCTATATCCCCATCTTGTTGCTCAGCAAGGAGAGACATTCTGCAAACTTTCGAACAAGTGAATGAAGCATGAGCATAGCAGAGGCCACAGAATCTGCTTGGCTTTCCCTTCTGCGCGTAAAGCTCATGACAGGCTTGCAGTGCCATTGCCTCCAGATATTAGAGATCACTCTAAGGCCTAGAGAGCCCAAGGAAATCCACTGCAAGCAAGGAAGAATGATGTCCACGGAGTCATTTCAGCATGACTCTTCTTAAAGGCACACATAATTGAGACCCTCTAAGTGCAGAGTTGGAGAATGGCTCCACGTGCCAAAGCTTAGGGCTTAGGGCCATGGGTTGCTCTGCAGCTGCCGTCCACAGTGACCCTGTGAACTCTGACCCTGCAGTGTAGTTATGACCCTGGGTTACATGAGACCAAGCCAGGAGAGCTTACGCGAGGACAGTCCCAGCTGGGAACGTGAGGAAGGGTAAACTCACGTGTAGCCTTTTTAATGTGAGAGGGAATTAGAACTTAGAGACCCCCAAAGTAAACAAGCTTAGAAAAAAGAACTGGTGGCCTTCCTTTGGCCTGGGCTCACACAGTCACGCCCCCCACCCTGGGTCAGTCTGGGGCCCAGGACGTGACGCACACAGAGGGAGTAGATGCAGGATGAGACCCTTTGGGCTAACAAAACACAAGCTTGTGTTTGCTCTTTGACACTCTTGACGGGACAGGGGAGCTGAGGGCCTTCACCAGGCAGGTCTGCAGAGCCGGGCCCAGTGAGTACAACAGATGGTGCAGCCCAGCCGTCATCCGCGAGCTCCTGCTGTGCACCCGGAGCACCGAGGTCATGCCATTTACCAGCGGCCACATAACCTGTCTGAGCTTCCATTTGTCCATCATGACCTCACAGGGCTACTTTAAAGATGGTAGAAAAATGTGAAGGCCCTGGGTGCCATGCTTAGCACTCAGGCCTGTGGTTGGCCCATGGCTGCTGGCATCTGACCCTGCACACCAGTCCCCGATAGACTTACCTTTCTCTTTCAGGCCGTCACTATGGGGCTGTCAGTTGTGAAGGTTGCAAAGGTTTCTTCAAAAGGAGCGTAAGGAAAAATCTGACCTACAGCTGCCGGAGCAATCAAGACTGCATCATCAATAAACACCACCGGAACCGCTGTCAGTTTTGCCGGCTGAAAAAATGCTTAGAGATGGGCATGAAGATGGAATGTGAGTAACTATTAAAAAACCACGTGAGTTAATAAGGAGGGTGAAAGTGAGGTTTCCGTGCCTGGCCTTAAAATACTCTTAACAGTATCTGCTGAGGCTTCATTTTGGTTCACCTTCAGGGTCAGCTCAGTGATGCGGTGCTGATACCACTAGGATTGGTTGGTTTCCACAGTGGAAACCTAGTCCAGATAATTTGGGAGGCAGCATGTGGAGTGGGATGAACACAGGCTTTGGGGTAAAGCTGATACCACGTCAGCTCCAGCCCTGCCCCCAGGAGCCGGGAGGCCTTGGGAAGTCATGTGGCCTCTGAGCCACAGGTCCCCATCAATGAAATAGCACCCTTGCCTTCCTTACATGATGTGTCTGGGGTCCTCTTTTCTTTCTTCTGCAAAGGTCTGTTTTCTTCATTTGTTTCTGCCATGTGTTCTTGCTCTTGTACCAGATGCTGAAGGAAGAGGTCACTGGTGTCACGTAAAATGGAGCCCCACTGACAGCAGAAGCTGTCCAGCTCAAGTTGGGCATTAGGATGCCTCCTTTTTCACGTGGGGCATGGGCAGCTCTCTGTTAAGGGCCCACCTGAGGGGGTGTTTCTCTTCCTGGAGAGAGTCCTGTGAGCAGCAGGAAGTGACAGAATGATACCCACACAAACGCCACTTGGTCCTTTCTCGGCCATGGCACCCGCCATCTTGAGCTCCTTTAGATTTGACAACACTTTGGCTTTGAGCCTTTCTCTCCTTTGGCTTCGAAGTCCACCGTGGGAGTTGAGCGAGGCGTGTCTAGCACCGAGCTTATTCTGACAGCAGTGGGCTTAGTCAAGAGGTCTCCTGCCTCTCCCGTGAAGGATGTGGTTTTTAAACATGGGTATTTCTGTTGTGATTTAAGCTGTGCAGAGTGAACGGAAGCCCTTTGATGTGCAGCGGGAGAAACCAAGCAATTGTGCTGCTTCAACAGAGAAAATCTATATCCGGAAGGACCTGAGAAGTCCTCTGATAGCCACACCAACATTTGTGGCAGATAAAGATGGAGCAAGGTCAGTCCCTGTGTTGACAAAGGGTGACACTGTAATCAGCCTTTGGAGCTGATTAGGGGAAGCACAGATATTCCTTGGAAAGGGGGCTTATGTGGCTCCCCACCTGAGGGCCACAGCCTTGAGTCTTGTCTTGCCTTATCCCACCCTTTTTGGAGCCACTCTAGTCACACCTCTGTCCAGGCCTGAGGATGGTTGATTTAGGATGGGGTCAGAATTTCTCCTCTCCCAGGTGCTGGGATTATGTGCTGTAGTTCAGGCATCATTCTTACAGGAAAACAGTTGTTCCATCATTCAGGAATGGGGCTTTTTTGCAATAGAGATAAAAGGCCTAAGACCCAGGTGTGGTCTAGATGGTGCCACAAGTCAATTTATATGTTTTTTTTTTAATGTAATCTATCAAACTTAAAGGAAGAGAAAGAGGGAAACAAGAAATCCAAAATGTATCATGGCAAGCGCTAGAGTTGGGAATGCCCTGGTGATACTCTGAGATCAGGTTAGCATTACTGGCACAGCAGTGGACGTGGAAGCCCGGGGGGATGTGCAGTCTGTGTCATCCTGTCTCAGGCTACAGACCTGGCTCTGCACATCTCATTGTAGAGAGAAGGGGGTTGGTGAGTCACTCGGTGGCTGAGTCTAGTTAGCTTTTCTATTGCTCAGCCTTGCAGATGTGGACAGGACAGGTAAACGCAGCCTGATCACACTGTGCATTAAATGTTGGAAGCTACTCTGGGTTTCTTTATGTCTTAAATAGACAAACAGGTCTTCTTGATCCAGGGATGCTTGTGAACATCCAGCAGCCTTTGATACGTGAGGATGGTACGGTTCTCCTGGCTACAGATTCCAAGGTGATGTTCTTTCCTCATGCCTTCTCCGCTTTTATGTGTCAGTGCAGGCCGCTTCTCTGAATGTGTGCACCCACCTTCTTCTTGGCCTTCAGACTACGTCGAGGCCATGGCTTCCTGCATCTCCATTTACTTCTGATACAGCCATGCTGTGATTTGTTTCAGGGATGCCAATGGCTTTTTGGCAACTCAGTCAGAGCTGGCTGGTCATGGTCACTTAACATGTCAGGGTCTAGAGTTCAATTTGGTGAAAATTCTGTGGTTCACTTCTAAGATTTTCCCCCCTAGTGACGCACATTGGCAAACTACGGGCAGGCTGAGGAAGAGCTCCTTATCCTAAGATGGCCTTTTGCAGGAGTCCCTGGTTCCTTTTTATTAGATGACCTGCAGGAAGAAGTCCAGCCGGGATTCTGGCAGCTCCAACCCAGACAGAGCAGGTCAGCTACAGGGAATCCAACTTGCGGACAGAGATGTTTGTCACCCCAAGAAAGAGACAGCTGGCTGTCTCCCGTGGAGATACCTGAGGAGAGGGGCTTTTATCCAGGCAAGGGAGCCCATTGCTTCTCTCACCTTATTGTCCCTGATACAACTTGAGCAACAATGAAGCGGCGGCAGCCCCACTGAGCCCCAAAGTCTCTGCTCTGGAAGGAGCGACTTAGAACAGCGCTGGCATTGCTGCCGCCCTCAGAGCCAGAGCTGGGCCTGCAGGCTCCCCTCTCATCTGCTCTCATGCACATGTGGTGCGTTAAGGAACGTCCTCTTCTGGGAAAGGAAAGGCAAAAATGAGAGCCGATGGACAGCTGCCCTCCACCCATTGGTCCCTAGCTGGGCTTTGAGCCTGTTGTCCTCGGGCGGTGGTGACGAATCATGCCTGGCTCGTTGCCTTAACCCGGCAGATGTGCAGGACAGTGACTGACCACCTGGTGGGGTGGACACACCATAAGCCCGAAAGTAAGGCTGAGCACCCTGAACTCCTGATGGCAGGGGGTTGCGCAGCCCCTGTCCCATGTGCCACCTGCACGGAGGCTGGTACTGAGCCGGCCACCCCATGCCCTCCCGTCCCCACCCCAGCGCCCACCAGGCAGGGGTGTTGGGAAACCTGAGTAAGTTAATTTGGTAAAGCATGCAGTGCCCACTGCATAAATGCTGGCTGCTAGGAGTTGTTGTGGTCGCTGCACCGAGGAGAAGGAGCACCAAGCTGTGCGGTGGTGAGTGAGCTGTAGTGAAGGCAGCAGCTGCGGGTCATAGCCAGGCCCTGCCCGCTGCTCCTCCAGGACGTGGAAGTGACAGGACCCACCCCAGAAGCTTGTCATGAATAATAGAATATATGCAGAGCCCCTTAAAGGTAGCTCTTTTCAGAAGCTGATTTTTAAACTTTTTACTACGAAACAATTATACATTCAAAATCATTTACTTTGAATAAATACAAAGATACCACAGTGCTGCATGCTCCCTTCACCCAGTCTCTCCCGGAGGCCGTGTCTTGCAGAGCCATAGCACAGGATCAGGACCAGGGCAGGATATGGGGACAGGGGTGGGTATCGTTCTTTTTCCTTTTTTCACCGTTCAACTTTTTCCCTTCAACATACCTATCATGACGACCTACATCTTTCACCAGCTGCATGATATTCTGCTGTGTGGTGGTTCTGTGATTTATTAACCCCATCTCTGTTTATGATCTTTTCTACTGATTCTAGTTTTTCATTTTTATAATAAAGATACAGCAGACATGTTTGTATACGTATCTTGGTTTATTTGTTTGAGTATATCTTTGGCTTTCTTTTTTTTTTAGTTGAGATGTAATTCCCATACCAAAAAATTTACCCTTTTAGTGTACAATTCAGTGCTTTTCAGTATATTCACAAGATTGTTACAACCATCCCCACTATCTAGTTCCACTATCTAATTCCAGAGCATTTTCATCACCCCAAAAAGAAACCCTGAACCCATTAAGCAGTCACCGTCCCTTCTTCCCACTCCCGACCCCTGCCAGCCACTCACTTTCTGACTATGGTTTTGTCAATTCTGGACATTTCATATAAGGGGAAATCATACAATATGTAGCCTTTTGTGACTGGCTTCTTTCTCTTATCATAATGTTTTCAAGGTTCATCCATGTTGTGGCCTGTATCAGTACTTCATTCATTTTTATTGCCAAATAATATGCCATTGAATAGCTATATCATGTGTTATTTATCCATTTGTCAGCTGATGAGCATTTGAGTTGTTTCTACTTTTTCCCTATTAGGAATAATGCTGCTGTGAACATTGTGTACAAGGTTTTCTGTGCACATATGTTTTAATTTCTCTTACATATGTACCTAGGAATGGAATTGCTGTTGTCATATAACAGCTCTACGTTTAAACTTTTGAAGAATGTTTTCCAGAGCACCTGCACCATTTTACTTTCCTTCCAGCAGTGTATGAGAGTTCCAGTTTTTCCACATCCTCGTCAACACTTGTAGTTATCTGTCTTTTTGACTGTGACCACCCTAGTGGGTATAAAGTGATATCTCATTGTGGTTTTTATTTGCATTTTTAACTAGCTTATTTGTCTTTTTCCTATTAAGCTGTAAGAGTTCTTTAGATATTCTGGCTACTAAACCATTATCAGATGTATAATTTGCAAAAATATCCTCCCATTCTCTGGGTTGTGTTTTGTGTGTGGGGAGAGAGAGATTGTCTTTTTACTTTCTTGATAATGTCTTTTGAAGCACAAAAGTTTAAATTTTGGTGACATCCAGCTTATCTGTTTTTGTTCTGTCATTTTATCGCATGTGTAGGTTTGTGTAACTACAATCACAATCAAGATACAGAACTGTTTCATCACCAAAAAGCTCTTCCTCTCACTGCCCCGTCATAGCCGTACCCCCATAGAAGCTGTTTTTAAAGCAACATTAAACCTTCATTGCCCTGAGAGTCTTGTATGTGTGTTCATCTTTAATATTATTATTTTCTGATTAACAGGCTGAAACAAGCCAGGGAGCCCTGGGCACACTGGCAAATGTAGTAACTTCCCTTGCCAACCTAAGTGAATCCCTTAACAATGGTGACACTTCAGAAATGCAGCCAGAGGACCAGTCTGCAAGTGAGATTACTCGGTACGAACCCATGAGGGTGGAGGCCCCTCCTGACATACACACAGGTGTGGCGTTGTGAGGGTGGGTGGCAGCATTTTGACACCCACCCTGTATTTAATCAAGGATTGCAAAATTGTCCCAGTGCCCCTGCATGTCTGTCTTCTTTCAAATTTTACCTATGGGAATGTGGATGCATTTTATTACACGATATAAAACAGTCTAAAAACTCTTTTCATTCCAGATAATAAACTAAATTGAGTCAGTGGAAGCAGGGGAAGAGATGTTACTTGTATTGGTCACTGCTTATGGTGCCTAAACATCAGTAGTGCATCCCCTTTCCCACTTCTGTTTATCTTATGTATCTTTTTTCCAAGTACTGAGTTTAGAGCTTAAATCGATTCATCAGGGTAGACAGAAATGAGCTGTTAGGTGGCACCAGCTGGTCCAGACACCTGTTCCCGCTGCCAAGGGTGTGTTCTCTTTGCAGCTGGGCCGCTAGGTTTGCTGCTTTCCTATTGGGCCGGCCACTCCTGCCCCTCTTGCCAGGCCAGGCAGGTGCCTGGCCGGGGCCACTCAGGTGCACCAGTCCTCATGTTCACTTGTGGTCTGGTAGAAAATTAAAATCTGGATCCAATGGAAAGAGGATGGGATTTGAGCTAGGTCGAATTCTGGTTCTACCACTTATTAGTTGGGTGGTCTTGGAAAAGTTAGCTTTCACATCTGTAAGATGGAGAGAATTCTACCTTGGAGAGTAGTTGTGAAAAACAAATTACATGTGAAAATAAATATCTAGCTTAGCACCCAAGGCGCCATGGAGACAGCATGTGGAAGCCGCCGCCCCTCTTCTCAGCATGTCAGAGTTAATTATCTTTTCCCCAGTGTGTTGTTCCTTAAATTACATCTCAGCTAGATCTCTTCTCCTCATAGAAGCTGTGGACTCACACTTGCTTGCTACGTTTTTGCTCCCAGGGCATTCGACACCTTAGCTAAAGCACTTAACACCACAGACAGCTCCTCACCTCCAAGCCTGGCGGATGGGATAGACGGCAGTGGAGGAGGGAGCATCCACGTCATCAGCAGAGACCAGTCCACACCCATTATTGAGGTTGAAGGCCCCCTCCTTTCAGACACTCACGTCACATTTAAGGTGAGTGTGTGTAGCTGGGAGAGGAGCTCTGTGCCCAGGCTGGTCTCAGTTAAAAAAATCAAACCTTGAAGTGAGCTCAGTTTTCATACAGTTGTGTTTGATCAGGATCTTGTGTTCCAGAACAGTGTTCCCATTATGAAGCATTTTCACTGTCTTTTGCTCACTTGGCTGTTTGGCTCTGCTGGTAACCCTGAAACAGGCGTGGCCACCTGTCACGGCCAAGACAGGCTGATGCGGGCTGCTGTGCCGTCCGCCTTCCCATGATGACCTGGCTTCAGCATAGGCTCAGGCAGGCCCTTTGTTTGTTCCAGCAGGCGTTCCCAGCCATTGGGCCTGACCTCTTGCCCTCTAGAGCCACAGAAAGTAGATCTCAGATATACTTGAAGACTGGTCAGGTCCCCACGGTCTTCCCTGCACTCACCTCCCCAGCCTCACTTCTCCAGGACACTGCCAGGCTCCCTGAGCCCCTGGTCTCTAGGTCTGCAGATTGAGTCTTCAGTTCCCCTCATATTCTCCACTAGAGAGATCTGGCCAATCACTTAGGAAGACTGAGTCCCTGCCATAGTTGTCCAAGGGTGCCAAGAACACAGGTCACCAGTGGGATTCCAGCTTCAGAGGCATTCAAGCCTCTTCTAGACATTTGGGCTCCCGGAACCCGGCCCGACATCCTGGTGGTGGTGTGTCCTCCTCCTGCCATCTGGGCTCCTGCTCAGCTCTCATTCACTGCTCCCTGAGGCCACCTGCCAAATCCCTGCTAGCCTGTGGAGCTGACCCATCCCCGACTTTGAGTTAGACTTGAACCTATGGCTCAAAATGGAATTGCCTTAGAACAAGTACCAGTGTAGTTGAAGCAGAGTTGAGATGTATGTCTTTGTGTGGATAAGCTGGGAGGTCCCCGTCCTCCCACATTCTAGGGGCCATCAGACCCTAGTTCACTGGGCAGGACCCCACAGGGAGTCAGTGCCGGCCCCCCTGCAGAGGATGTATGCTTTACAAGGATGCTCTGCACGGGGGCTTCAGTGTCAGAGACTGGTGTTGACGAGCTGCCCCCGTCACTTGGTCACCCCCGTGCTGTGTGCTCTCTCTCGCAGCTCACGATGCCCAGCCCGATGCCCGAGTACCTCAACGTGCACTACATCTGCGAGTCCGCGTCCCGCCTGCTCTTCCTCTCCATGCACTGGGCCAGGTCCATCCCGGCCTTTCAGGCACTTGGGTAAGTGGCTTTTTTCTCCGTGTGTATCCTTGGGCAGGGCCTTTCCTGCTCTAGGAGTGGCCTGGAAGATCTCTGAGGGTCCTTCCAGTTTGTTCCTTTGGCCCGATTTGCTTGTTAAATACAGTTGGTGGACTGGTAGCAAGGGGACAACCTTGGTGGCGAAGGCTGCAGTGTTCCTCAGACCTTTATTGTGCCTTCTCCATGTGCCTTGGACTTGGTGCTAGGAGCAGGGGATGGACTGGAATGGAAGGCAGGAGTCGTCCTGTGATCTTGAGACAAATACAGGGTACTGCGTCTGGGGGCTTCTGAGATGAAGACAGATTATTTCGAGGTGCATCAGCCGTGCTGTCCTGAGTGTAGATTCCCCCCTCCTCCCTGCTGCAGCCCCAGCTCCTCCCTGGCAGGCTGGGTGTGTCTCTACCTTTCGGAGCCCACCCTCGGCTCTCAGTCCTTTGATCGCTGCAGCCTCTTGTGACAGAACCACACCAGGGCTGTTAAGGGAATAGTTTCTCCTCAGAGGGACTTCAGTTAAGGCAGTCACAGACAGTGGTGTTTGTGAAGAACAATCCTGGGCATTCCATAGGCCTTCAGCAAATACATGGTGACACAACTTGTTTGGGACACGCGGGGGCTTGGAGGAGTGCCACCGGCCCCCGCACCCACCACGCCTCTGTGTCCCCAGGCAGGACTGCAACACCAGCCTGGTGCGGGCCTGCTGGAACGAGCTCTTCACCCTCGGCCTGGCCCAGTGCGCCCAGGTCATGAGCCTCTCCACCATCCTGGCCGCCATTGTCAACCACCTGCAGAACAGCATCCAGGAAGGTAGGGCAGGGGCTGCGGGCGAGGACGGCTCGGTCTCAGCTGGCCCACCGCATAGCCAGCCTGTGTCCCACAGCGTCCCTTACCCGTCAGAATGTTTAAATTTCTACCCGACTGCCTTCTTCTCATATAATGAAGAGGAAAGGAAAAAAATAATTGGGAAAAGGTGCTAATTTCCAACATACAGACGTTGAGTGATGTTTGCAGAATAGTCACAGCTTCTGTTTTCAGCTTCATTGACAGGTTGCCCTTTCCTGTATCTCACAAATCCTCAGAACCCTGTAAAGTAGAAACTGTTATGTCAGGGTTACATATGGGAAGACCAGGTCCCAGTAAGGTCCCTGGCTTGCCCGGGATAAAGCAGCAAGTGGAAGAGCTGGGGACTGGGGTACAGACCTGGGTCATGTGACCCCCTGGTCCAGGGCGTGAATGAACAAGTGCGTCTCTTATTATGAGATCTGTGCAACCACCTGACATCGGGTGGTCAGGTCCCAGCCGTATCGGGACTGGGGAGTAGCCGGGGTGGTCTCCACAAGCTGCACATCCGCAGCACACTGAAGACACTGTCAAGGGAGCCCACGCTGCCCAGTGTCTAGACTATCCCTGCAGATCACACTTGCATCTGAGGTGGAGTTGAATTGCTTTTTCAATCAGGCATCCCAGTGTTTGAGACCTAGGAGTGTGAGTCACCTAGTCACACCTTCGTTTTTCTAGTTATTCCTTTGGAATAGTTATATAATGGTGATTTTTAAAACCCTGTAAACATTTTATTGAATTTTAGGTTTGTTCGCAAACGAGCTTTAGTTTTTGTTTTGTTTTGTTTTGTTTTTGCGGTACGCGGGCCTGTCACTGTTGTGGCCTCTCCCGTTGCGGAGCACAGGCTCCAGACGCGCAGGCTCAGCGGCCATGGCTCACGGGCCCAGCCGCTCCACGGCATGTGGGATCTTCCCGGACCGGGGCACAAACCCACATCCCCTGCATCGGCAGGCAGAATCTCAACCACTGCGCCACCAGGGAAGCCCCTAGTTTTATTTTTAACTGAATATAATAATACTGCCTTCAGCAAGATACTGTCATGAAGACTAAATCAGACAACGGATAAAATTATTTTGACAACTAAAAAATGCCAGCGTGTTCAGATTGGCAAATATTTATTCAGTGCCTGCAGAGACTTGGAAAGAATTGACCTTGATAAGAACTGGCATGTGGGCCTTCAGCACCTGCAGGCCAAAGGTGCTGCCCAGGGTGGGGCCAGGGAGAATCACTGGTCTTGGAGGTCGTTACTGAGGCAAAATATTAAGAGAGTGGAATCTGGGTGCCTGTTGTCACTTCACCTATAACTGGAAAATGAGGCTCTTGAGATAACTGGTTTTTCATTTAAAAGTGAAATTATTCTCTCATTTTTTTCAATCTGTGGCCCCCTCAAAGAAGCTCATGTTATTGCTCTCATTAGCCTTTCTCAGAGGATCTGTGATGTTGATTTCTAGATAAACTTTCTGGCGAACGGATAAAGCAAGTCATGGAGCACATCTGGAAGCTTCAGGAGTTCTGTAACAGTATGGCGAAGCTGGATATAGACGGCTATGAGTATGCATACCTTAAAGCTATAGTTCTCTTTAGCCCCGGTAAGATATGCAGTGGTCACGGTCACTCAACGACGGTTTTCCACCTGTGTCTACTGATATTTCTGAACATGAGCATGTTTGTCAGGTTGTCAGCAGTGTAGAGAGAGCCCTGCCACACTGTGTGTGACTGAATGTTCCCGTAATGTGTGCTTTGCTAGCTAACATAAATACATACGTTCTTTTAAAGTCCTGTCTTTATATTCCCAAAGAAATATGCTGTAGTGCTGGGTAACTTCATATACTAAATAGATATCATCTGTATCCTAACTAAGCCATTGGCTAAATAAGACTACAGCAAACAAAATTGAGTACACATTTGGCCCTCTGTATCCACGGGTTCCGTATCAGTGGATTCAACCAACCGTGAATCAAAAATAATCAGGGAAAAATATATTCCAGGAGTTCCAAAAAGTAAAATTTATTTTGCCATGTACCAGCAACTAGGTACAACTATTTACATAGCATTTACAATGTATTAGGTATTAGAAGTAATCTAGAGGTGATTTAAAAGTATACGGAAAGATATGTGTAGGTTATATGCAAATACTATACCATTTAATGTAAAGGACATGAGCATCAGTGGATTTGGTATCCATGGGGGGGGGGGGTTCCTGGAACCAACCCCCTGTAGATACCGAGGGGTGACTATACTACCACCCAGTGTCCTTTTTTTGTTTTGATTTGTTCTGTTTTGCTCTTTGCTAATTTTTAGGTATGTTAGCACTTATAATCCAGTACAGATTGAAACTGCACAAGTTTACCCACAGTCTCTGTAGGGCAGTAGCAGCAGCAGCTGCAGGGCATATGCCAAAAGGTGTGGTCACAGCAGATGAAGAAGAGGCATTGTTTCCGTGGGGGGGGGGGGTTCCTGGAACCAACCGCCTGTAGATACCGAGGGATGACTATACTACCACCCAGTGTCCTTTTTTTGTTTTGATTTGTTCTGTTTTGCTCTTTGCTAATTTTTAGGTATGTTAGCACTTATAATCCAGTACAGATTGAAACTGCACAAGTTTACCCACAGTCTCTGTAGGGCAGTAGCAGCAGCAGCTGCAGGGCATATGCCAAAAGGTGTGGTCACAGCAGATGAAGAAGAGGCAGCGGGACTGTTGGTGGAAAGTAAGAGTCGACCGGACTGGCCTCACTCACTCCCCGTCAGCTATTCTCTCTGAGCCTCCTGAGAGGCCACTTGGTGACTGTTGTCCTCGACAGCAGGGGTGGACCCAGCTTAACCTCTCTGTCCCACTGACCTGGCCCCCTACTCATGAATAACAAAATAGCTAATAAAAGTGGGAGACACTATGTGATTAAATATCTAGAGAGCAGATGATAATTTCTAATTTCATGTGGTATATGTTGTATGGAGTAAGGAAGGAAGCCACAGGTCTAGAACCAGCCCCAGTGGGGCTGCTGAGGCTGGTGTGAGCATCCAGGGGCCGCACCTCTCCTGGGAACCTTCAGGTCGTGGCAGAGCACAGAGGAAGAGCCAGTGTTCTAGCAAGAGTATCCAAACTAGACCAGCCTTCAGAGCTCAATCTATTGCACTTGAGAAATTAGTCAGAAATTTTACTAAAAATAAGTACTGAGAAGTCTGCAAATGAGGCTTTCCAAATACAGAAGACAATTTGGGGTACTTTTATTTTTTCAGATCATCCAGGTTTGACCAGCACAAGCCAGATTGAAAAATTCCAAGAAAAGGCACAGATGGAGCTGCAGGACTATGTTCAGAAAACCTACTCGGAAGACACCTACCGGTGAGGCACACGGGCACGATGGGGGCGAGGCTGGATCTGTAGCTGCAGATATGTTACATTGGCCTTCCCATTGCTGGCAGCCTGGTAGAGCCTCCATTTGATCACACTTTAATTCTTGCATTTTATGGCTGAAAATGGAGTGGGGAGGGTCAGGAGTCCTAGGCCATCCCAGTGTTGCTGGGTGACTGGGTGAGACTTTGGGTTGTTGCTCTTTAATTTGAGGGGTTGGGAGCCGTGATCTCCTTTGGGGCTGATGTTGTGTGTGAGATGAGTTCTTACGGAGACTCCGCTTGTCCAGAACAGTCGGCAGCTCTGCCCTTCTGCCCCACATTCACTGAGGAGACGGTGCTAGACAAAAGAGTTTCCTTGACATTAGCCAAATCTGACCCCTAGAAAGAGTGACTGGGTTGGACAAAGTAGTAATTTAATCCTCACATAAACTGATTTTTTCAAGTTCCTTTATTTGGGTGAAAATTTATAATGTTTGGGCAGCAGGAAAAAAATGTTATCTGTATGCCTTTCTCATGCAGCTTTGACCAGGAAAGTTGTTCTGAAATAGGGCAGAATGTGCTGGCAGGCTTTCCCTCCAGCCGAGGAGTGGAAGAGCTCTTTCCTCGTGACTTCTTCTAACCCACTGGAGGCTATGTGAACTTCTGGGGCCTGTCAAGCATAGTGTTTCCCTCCCCACCTTCCCCCATCACGTCCTCTGCACAGACAGACGTCAGTCAATAGGTGCCCTGTGGGCCTGAGCGCCCCAGCCCCAGGGGGACAGTTTCTCTGGTGTGACTGGGGGCCTGTGGCGGGCCCGGCTGGCAGAGAGCCTGCCTCTGCTTTAGGCACGCCACCATGGCCAGACACAGCTTTTGCCAAAGCAGGATCCATTTTCTACGGGAGTCACTGAAGACCTCACAATGAATCTAGAATGGCTTCAGCCTCATTGCATACAAAGCGGTAACACACCCACACCAGAGCTCATACAGCCAGGCGTGTGGGTGTGCTGTCCCCTGAGGAGGCTCTGGGCCCAATCCACACAGAGCCTGTGGCCAGAAGAGGCTGAAAAGGCTCCTCTGGGGCTGCTGGCAGAGCCCCAGCACACAAGAATTGCCTTGACGATGGCAGCTCTCTGGCCTTTGAAAGTACACGTTTCTGGAAAAAATCCTGAGTCACTACTCCTGGTCCAGTCAGGGACCCTGGGGGAGAAGAGGGCAAGCCAGGTAGGTGATTTGGGGCCAGAAATGAGAGCAGGGGGGCTCTCTCATAGCACTCAGAAACACTCAGTTCCCAAAGAAAAGGCCCTAGAATGGTTGCGTCCTGTTTATACAGTCATTGCTTTAGTCTGTCCCATCCTTAGGCCTTTTCTCATGCTATTTGTTCCTCCTGAAATCCTCTCCCATCCTTTGCATCTCTGCTGATAGGAACCTTAGCCAGCGTCTAAGGCCCAGCTAGATATCCTCCCTGACTGGCTTTTGCTGACTTCCCGAGACCCTTCAGCCTATCGGCCCCTTGGCACCTTTGGGTGCCCTGCCAGACACCATGGCTGGGCAAATGGATGATGGTGCTGGAATACTGCTTTCATAATACAAATATATTTTCCCCTTTTAAAAATAACGTTCACTGTAGAAAAAAATTAGAACATTCTGGAAAGCAAAAAGAAAACTTTTAGCTCTTTGTAAATACCACTTCCCTGTTAACGTTTTATGTATTTACTTCCAGTAATTTCTTAGTATGTGCAATTGGAATCAGAAAATAGAAAATAAGGTTTTGTGACCTTTTTTTCACTTAATATTCAGTGAGCACGTATACATTCTTCTAAAGCATTTTCCATGGCTAAGGAGATGCCATAATTTCATCATTTCCCTACTTATGAAAATGTCAGTCGTTTCAAGACTGGGCTGGCCCTGCAGTTTGCGTCCTGGTGCCCACCGCTCTGGGTGGTGGCTGTGGAAATGGCCCATCCACGAGATGCTTCAGATAGTGTCCAGTGACCTGCCAGGATAGGGTCACGGTGTGCCCTCCCGGGGTTCCTTCCAAATAAAAATCTTATTGCTTTATTTTTAACTACAATGCTAAAAGAACACTGGAAATTAGAGCAATATAGAAAAAGTTTTAATTGATATAATCACTTCAAATCCCAATACCCAGAGGTCAACCATTAGCATTTTGGTGACCATCCTTCCAAGTACTTCATTTACACACATACATACAAAGGAATATACGCAAGTGAGGTCACGCTGTACTTGCTGTTTCACATCCTCTTTTTTTTTTTTTTTTTTTGGCTGCCTTGGGTCTTCGTTGCTACGCGCCGGCTTTCTCTAGTCGCGGTGAGCGGAGGCTACCCTTCGTGGCGGTGCGCAGGCTTCTCGTTGCGGTGACTTCTCTTGTCGCGGAGCACAGACTCTAGGCGCGTGGGCTTCAGTAGTTGTGGCACGTGGGCTCAGAAGTTGTGGTGCACGGGCTTAGTTGCTCTGCAGCATGTGGGATCTTCCTGGACCAGGGCTTGAACCCATGTCCCTTGCATTGGCAGGCGAATTCTTAACCGCTGAGCCACCAGGGAAGCCCTCACGTCCTTAAGTTTTTATTCAGCTGTATGTCATGGAATTCTTATCAATGGATATAGACCTTTATTATTCTCTTTAATGAATATGTAGGGATTCATTATATGGAGACACCATACTTTATTTTTGTTTTTTTTGTTTTTTTTTTTTTTTCCTTGCGTTATGCGGGCCTCTCACTGTTGTGGCCTCTCCCATTTGCGGAGCACAGGCTCCGGACGCACAGGCTCAGCGGCCATGGCTCACGGGCCCAGCCGCTCCGCGGCATGTGGGATCCTCCCGAAACGGGGCACGAACCCGCGTCTCCTGCATCGGCAGGCGGACTCTCAAGCACTGCGCCACCAGGGAAGCCCCACCATACTTTATTATAACCTCCCCTCCACTGACAGGTTTTCAGATTTTTCGTTTTGGTGGGGCTGAGGAGAGTTGTTATAAACAATGAAGGGAACATATCTGTACATAATCTTTGCACTCATGATAAACTCCTACAAGAGGAACTGTTGAAATCAGAAAAGGGTGGGACAGTGAATGTGTCTGTTTGGTTCAGTTCCGAGCAGTGCAGACAGGGCCCCTGGGAGCCTATCCAGGGTGAAGTCTGAAGTGCAGTGATCCCCCCTTTCTCTAATGACCCTTCCTCTTACAGGTTGGCCCGGATTCTTGTCCGCCTGCCAGCACTCAGGCTGATGAGTTCCAACATAACAGAAGAACTTTTTTTTACTGGTCTCATCGGCAATGTTTCAATAGACAGCATAATCCCCTACATCCTCAAGATGGAGACAGCAGAGTATAACGGCCAGATCACCGGAGCCAGCCTATAGCGCACACCTCACACCTGCCGAGGAGCACAGGATCCACCCAGGACCGCTCAAATACAAAGAAAATAAGTAGTGGTATTTTGGTATGTGCAAATATTTCCAGTACCTTAGCTATTTCCTACCTGGTTTCTTCTTATGTTAATCCCAGACAGTAGCAACTAAAAGACTAGTAGGATCCTTTCCTGCCATAAGAAATGTTTTAATGCCTTTTGATGAAGCAGCAGATTTTGGAACAATCTTTTAACTCAGTTTTTATTTAGAAATTCTCAAAGGGCAAAAAACAAAAGCAAAGTTTTATAATGTCAGAGACTAGTTAAAGAAAACTAAAAGAACCTAAGAGAACAACAGTATGTGTGTATATATTAAAAACGTCCTTGGAATTAATAGCTACTAATTACCAGGGTAATGATATTAGCACTTTCTAAGCACTTCTTATCAATGTGTAATGTTAGCGACATCTTGCCTGTGTGCAGGGCAAATGGAAAACTGTGTATGTCTTTTGCCGAAATACTAACGATTTCTGTGAAAATGCAATAGGGTTACAGGAGACAATCATTTATGCTTAAGGAAGGAAGGCGTCATTCCTAACTGTACGCACATATTGCTGGTGTAGAGCTAAATTCCCGGGAATGAATGAAGATGCAGCTTATCTGTACGTGCGGTCAGGGGGAGTGTAGTGGCACAATCGTGGTGACCTGAATTCGAAGCTTCCTCAGCCAGAGCTGATGCTTGTCGGGTTCCCTGACCTCTGGTCCTGGTCTGTGACGGGCATCTGCAGGCTCCTCTGAACTCGGGGCTCTTCTGGTGACTGGTTCTCAGAATTGGATTAAACCAGTCAGATGTTAACTGCCACTTCCTGCAGCAACTGAAAACATCCGCGAATCACCTCCACCACTCACAGCAGTTGGAGCGTTCTGACCAAAAAGTGCAAGGTGAGCATTCTGAACCCTTGCCGGGACCTCCCGACTACAGTGTGGGGGTGGTTGCATGTTTTTCAGGTGGAGGAGTGCGAGGGCTCCCTTCTCAGCAGTTTCCATCCCAAATGCCCCTTGGGAAGGGCCTGTGTTCCTGCACTTCGGTCCGAACTGGGAGGTGGACTGTGGTGCGGGTCTTGCTGCCCGCCCAGGCAGCAGCTGTGGTGGAGCTGAGTGGCATGTTTCTCAGCGTCTCCAGGCTCAGCACCTGTCAGCAGGTCTCTCAATGATCCTGGCGTACCACGCACTTGGGTTCCCCCGGTTTTGCCAGCAGACAAACTGGGCCGTTTTACGTGATGGATGCAGAAGCAGGCTGCATGCTCCTTAAAAACAACCTTTAATCCCCAACGTTATCGTCTTCTTTCTCCTTGGAAGTGATAGCGACCATTGTTTACAAGAACAGAATGCGGTTATTGGGAACTTTAGTCGGAGAAAAGCGCCCATAGTTCCCCTGGTTGTGAAGCAGCAGCACACATGTCCATTTGGGAAAAGTAGCAAGGCTGCCTCAGGTACCTGTACTTTCTTTCTGTGTAGCCCAGATTAAGAAAATACAGTGTGAGGCTAAACTTGTATTTCTGGAACCTTTTGATCAGATGATACCCCAAAAGACCCCAGTGCACTCACCTCCAGGCATCCACGGCCGTGTAAAGCTGAGGAGAGCAAGGTGGGTGCCGGGCCGCCGCCACGGGCTTATGGCAAGATGGGACTCTATTCCGCAGTTGTCGGCGGCACTTATGGAAGTCATTAGTGGGAATTAGTGGGAACAGTGTCTCCAACTTGGAAATTCCTGTTTGGATCTGATTATGTCATTTATCGTTCATGCCTTGGGAGCAAATTTTGGAGAGTAGTGGGGGTACCCGTTATAAAATAATGGGAAGGATTTAATTTTGACAGCTTAAATTTTTGGTTTTCTAACTTTGAAGTGATTTAAGTTTCAAAATTAAGGCAAAAAGTGGCTAAGGATTTTCGCAGAGGGCATTTTGTAGCACTTGTGTGCATCTTACACAGCGAGTTGCCTATTGTTCTGTTCTTCTGACTTTGGATGTAAGCATGTCTGTTGATCCTGTAGCAGCTCCCTGGGAACATAATGTGTCACACATCTTTCAGGTCTGAGCTCTCGGTGATGGTGAAAAGGTCCACACTGGCCGGCTGCCCTGGGCGTCCTGTGTCTGTGAGGCTTTTACACTCAGGTTGCTAAGGTATGAGGGCAGCTTAGCCAAGACCTAGACTGAAGTCTCTGCTGGGAACAGAAGGTGGTACCAGCAGGGAGACAGTGAACACCTGGATAAGCACATGCCCCATTCCAGCAGGACAGCTCAGGAGAAAAGCTGATTCTAAGCTGGTCCTGCTCCCTGAGTCCCTTCGCTGCTGATGGCTGATACTAGTGGACCATTTTGGGCTTTGAACACTCCTCATTAGCTTCCTAGATCCCCTTGGCCTTACTTTGAAGTGGACTTTTCCTTAAAAATCAGCTCCACACTACCTGAATTCTCGCCACTCCAGATCATCTCAAGCCTTTGACAGCAGGTCCATTCTCTCTTTGTCAGACTGGTTAAAAGAAACCCAGAGTCAAAAATTATTTAAAGAGATTGCAAGTAAATATTTGGGCTCAACTCTGACCAGGCTTTTTAACCCTTGTTAGTAGTTTGTGAAACTCTGATTTAGTGCAGTGAGACCAGCCCTGAGTAGTCTGCATCTGAGTGAAATAAGCCAGGGTCAGGATTCTTTGCCACGAGAATCCTGTCCCAGCCGCCCCTCCCTCCGTGAGGAAAGTAGCTAAGGGAGGTGGGGACAGACGTACACCACTGCTTCTTGACGTGACGAAGTGGGCTCTTTTCCATCGGTATTTCAGATAATGTTGGACAGTTATGTGTTGAAATTTGTGGAGTTCATTACATATAATCATTAAACAGGACCGGAAGAGATGTAGAAAAAGACCAAATTACTCAAGCAAATATTTTCCATGTTATTCCTTGAAAGTATTTTTAAGGAAGTATGTTACCACCCTTCTGATTTGTGTGTGTGCGTGTGTGTATGTGTGTTTGGGGTGGGGCGGGGAGGCTACCTTATTTATTGTCTAACCTCTGCCATGAGGCTTGTCGTCAGGGTTCTTTTGTTGTTTGGGTTTTTATATTTAATTTCAGGTGTAGTCACTTGTAAGATGTTATGTAATTGCCCTCAAGAGGGATCGTTTTCTAGCCAGTCAGCGTCAGTATTAAATGCAGACTCTCTCCCAAGGTGGTGGCAATGGACTCGGCTACCAATGGGCTCCCTGATCCATGTGGCGGCAGCACCCTCGCTGGGGCACAGGGCTGTAGCCACACTGCATACGGGCTCTCTAGCTTGTTTGGGGGTAGCCACAGCAGGGAGCCAAGAACTAGAAGGGCTCTCGTTGTACCTAGTGCTCTTAATCCTGATCCTTTGAGGGAACACCAAGCAGAGCAGTCTTGCTCCCAGCCCTGCCCTCTGCCTGACAAGCAGCCTTTGGATGGGGATCCAAGTTCCAGGGCCTGATCAGATTAGAGCCTGGAAACGCGTTGCCCACTTTCCACTGGAAGTGGCCTTATGTGCAATGGGGCTGAAGGTGACATTACAACTCTTCTGAGTCCAGGTCATGAAAGGCGGCATCTTCTGATGCTCACCTTTATTTTGGAGGATGGTGCCCTTCAAAGCCTGGAAAGGCCGGAGAAAGCAGGGCACACACTCACATCCTTCACTGTCCCACTTCCATTCTCCATAGGTAGTGCGGCTCTTGGAAAATGTCTTAACTTTGATGTAAATTTGCAAAGCTAGCCCCTCATCATGACCGAGTGGGATGAGTCTTTTGTACAGAGTCCTGGGCCTCCTCACCTGTGCCTCCCACCAGCAGGCACTTCTGTGTGTTCAGCCCTGGCGTCCCTTCGGCGGCATTGTGTGTGTACAGATTTATAGGCTTGTGTGACTGACTGAATGTACATGTGTTTATACCTTCTCTATATGTACAGTGTATATAGCGTATGTGTACATAGATGTATATATTATGTATACAGACATGTAGCCACGTATCCAGACTTTCCTTTTGTTTTACAGAGAATCTATGATAGTTTCTACAGTAAACTGATGTGGGTGTTCCATGGTCCCTCAGCAGGATGGATTTGCTGAGACTTTAACTCCATTTTCCTTTGGGTGAGCCTGGCTGGGAAAATGTCCACGCTGGGAAAATGTCTACTCTGCACCAGGGCAAGTTCCAGACAGAAAGGCCCTGGCAGGATAACATTGCTTTCTATTCTCTAGGAAGCATGAATGTTGATGGCTGATTTCTGTGGTATACAAATTACAAATCTTAAATTATCTAACTGTATATAGCATGTGAATGAAATCCACTGACCTTATTCCTTTCTATGAATTATGATTCTAAATTTTTAATTTCAGATAAAAATTGCATTTTTATACAGATGTATACCCTTAAAGCTACAAATGCCAAATTTTCCTTGTCCAGGTCTATTCTGAGGAATTTTCCTATTAATCGGGCTTTAACTGAGACACAGCACTCAGGAGCCAGGGCCCAGCCCAGCAATAGTTTTGCTCATGCACCTGGTAAGCAGAGACCTGATGGTGGGAAGGTTGAAAGCTGGCCTGCTGAAAGAAATCACTGGATAACTGCAAAAACTCACGTAATCCACAGGTTACTTTTTTAAAAAAGAAGCTTACTGAAATGTTTGTTTGAAAATACACTTCATTGAGACCACAGTACTCGGTGCCTTTTGTGAGATGGTGGGTCGTTTAGCCTTCAGCTTCCCGTAGCTTTGATGTGACGAGAGCTCCTGCTACTTCACTGGCCTCATCCCACAGTGATTGTTCGACCTTTCCCGTGTCCTTGCCTGTCGTGACAATCACTATTGAACGTGGCTCTCCAGTTAAAACAAGTGGAAGCCTGACAGTCTCTAAATGAATCTTTAAAAGTTTTCCTTTGGGGCTATTTCCCTTAACTGTAATCTAAGAATAATTAAACTGTGAGTTTAAAAAAAAGTATCTTGGGGGTGAGGAATAGTCTGAGATATTTTTAATGCCCAGCTATACTTTCAGTTAAGAAGCCAATAATAATTCTGAAATGCTGGGAAAAGGCTCAGCAATATTTATCGACTGACAGACTGTGATAAAGCTTAACACTTGGATAACAATTAGAAATGGTAGTCTTCACATTAAAAATGGCTTTTCTTTAGGAAAGTGTAGTCAATTATCATTTTAACAACCAGAGCACTCATGGATTCAAATGCTGCTGTCACACACAACTCAAGTGCTGGAGTATTTTTCTACACTCTCTCCGTTCTCCCAATTATCTTGTAAACCAGTGTTCAACTAGTTTTATAACTGAAAACTGCACATTTTTCATAGTACAAACCATAGTTTTTACCTGTAGTTTGGAGCTGTTAAAATGTAGCTGCACTACCAGCCCTTTCAAAAGAAGTGTGTTAAAGGAAAATTTGGGTGTTAGATTTTTGGGACCGTTTCTGTAACCTCTGCCCTTCACAATATAGAAAATATTGTTTATGCCATCACATTTTAATTCCAGGTTTAAAATCTGTCGAAAGCTGTATAGCTTGAAAACACTTTGTTTATGCGATGGCATTTTAAAAACAGCATGTTCTTTTTAAACTGAATTTTATATCTAATCAATGTCTTCAGTCTTGAAGAATTTGCATTGTTGTGTTTGTATATAGAGTATTGCAGTGCATGAATTAGCTTTATGCATTTTATTAAATGCTGTTTCAATGTGGCATTATTGTTGTGGCTTAATACTACTACCTAAAAGAGGTTTATACTATTAAAGTGAATTAAAAACGAATAATGTGCATCCTGCTCCTCATTTCTCCTCGTAATAGTAACATCGGTAACGCCTGACCCCCAGAGGCACCCAGAATGCTCTGCCTGAACCCCAGGTAGGTGGCAAGGAGGCACCCTGGTCGTCAGACCCCTACAGCTCGCACACCACCTTAGCCTTGCCCAAAAGTGACTTAGCCCTTGATGGTCCATGTGATTGGGCCACTGGATTGTAAATACCTTTAACAAAAATGCTGGTGGGACCATCCCCTCTGCATCCTCCCGGTGGAGCCACTCCTTGGTGTGGTGTCCAGAAGCCACGCAGACTTTCCTGGAGCGGAGCGGAGCAGAGCACAGCTTGGGCCTCCGGACACACAGATCGCTGGCACAGACAGACGTGCACAGAGCCAGGCCTCAAACTGGCAGACGCTTCCTGCAAGGATATTTGCTATCCAGGGTAAAAATGTCTTCTTAAAGTTTCAGAAGTTTAGAACTTGCTCATTATGTCATCTGACCTCTCATTTTACAGATGAGGATTCTAAGGTCCAAAGTCAGATTCGTGGCAGAACCCACAGGCAGCCAAATAGCTTTAAGTGGCTTTGCCAGGTCGAACTCAAAATGAGAAGAAAATTGGTCACTTCAGTAGAACAAGGCCAAAAACCATCTGGTGAACACTGCTTATGCAGATAGAATTAAGAAAATGTGTCAATTACGAGATCCTCATGAGAGGATTGGGATTGACATATATACACTTATATAAAATAGTAACTAATAAGAACCTGCTGTATAAAAAATTCAAAAGATCCTCATAGCAATCTTCTCTACTAATTTCTTCCCATTTTTGTAAATTTAAACCCATCTTTTTACCACTAATAAAGTAGGAAATAGATGACAAAGGAATAATGCCCCCCAGTGGTGTTTATCTCCATGCATGTTACCTGCTACCTATAAAATAGTCCACGCAAACAGTATCAGCAGCGCCATCGTCTCAGGCACTGGACATTTATTCTCTCTCTAAAGAGGGGTCAAAAACTAGCTTAGTTCAGGGCGATCCTCCTATTTAGCAACCCTGGGGGCGCCCTGTGGACCATGGAGGGAAGGGCCATTTCCGTAAGTCCTTCTGTCTCACTAGCTCTGGAGACAAGGCCAAGAGGAACCAACTCTTTCTGAAAAGCCCAGTCAGCCACTGTGAAGGCCATGGCTGCCACCAGCTGGGAGCAGTATCAGAAACATGGCAGGAACTGAGACCAGCACCCAGGGAGGGATTAGGATGGGGGACAGGTTTTTCTAGCCGCCCTCGGAAATGGTGACGGGGGAGAGAGCACCAAAGTGTTGAATTTCAGTTAAACAACCCTCATAAGCCTGTGGTCATTCAGGATAGCTACCCATTATACATGAGACCCACATGCCCACCTCCCCCCAACCCTGACCTTTACATCATCACCCTGAACACAGGTCTGGTACAAAATCACATAACCTGAGCACCGTATGTGAAAGGAGCCAAACTTCCCCCAATTTAATGAGGTAATCTGCAACACTTATATAAAACATCCCAGTCGCACACTGGGATAAGGACTACCTTTTTTCCCATCTCACAGGGAGCTTTCGGCTTCAGCCCAAGTCCTTCACTCCTGACCAAGTAAACCTAATCTTAAGGTGACCCTAGAGGGCCCTGGTGTCTCCTGAGGACTGAAACCAACACAACTGAAGTGACAGCAACATCAGTGTCCTGTGAGGAAAGAACTCCCAGGCAAACCCCAAGACACCTCACACCCTCTTCCAAACCTCAGTAAGTGAAGGCTGACCAAGCCAGCAGGTAGCGCCCTCCACCAGAGGGCGCCCTCTCCTTGCCAGGGAGGCAGGTCTGGGCCTCCACTGGGACCTCTTGGCCTCTGGCACAGCCTCGCCCCAGTGGTCAGTTGCCTTTAGTTTAAAAAGTGAGCGCTGCACACAGGCTTGCCCTGGGATTTCTGAAAAATCCCAAAGAGCCTGACTGGAGAGGACGTCTGTAACCACCAGCCAGACAGCTCCGGCCAGACCCCCACGCGGCAGTTCTTCATTAATCTCCAGAGCAAGGCCTGGAAGAAGAGTCGAAGCCAGTAGAGACCAGGAAAGGGCTGCAGGACTGAGACGAGATGTCACCAGGCTGCGGCCTTACACCTTCCCGACCCCAAAGCCCTGTCCCTACAAAGGCCTATCAGACCGGATTCATGCCACACTGCTCGGTGATCCTGAAGCATTTATTGCCCTGATGGCGCAGGGTGTTCACTGGGCAGCTTGGCTAAAGCCCAACTCCTCCCCTCCCCCCATACACTTTTACACAAGTGTGTAAAGGAGACCCTTTTATTGCAAAGAGATTTTCAGTCTTTCGGGGAATAGGACCAGGGGCTTTTCTGGGGCCTCAGTCTTGGGCACTGGCTTTCAGAGCTGCTTTGTACTTCCCTGTCATTTCCCTGGGCAATGGCACCAGGCCTGGGCAGGGCACCTGCCCCTCCACCTCACAGATGCACTCCCGCAGGCAATACTTTCGGGGCCCAAAGTGGGCTGGGTGAGAAAGCTGTTTTTTCTCCTGCTCCTCTCTCTCGAGGGTTTCCCTGCCAAAGAACACAGACAGCAACAAGGCGTGGGTGACACAGCTCCGAGCCGCTGGGAAGTGGGGGACTTCTCAGCCGAGTGAGCCCCAGCATCTGCCAGGGAGACCTCCTACGCTGCTCCCTACTCCCCCTGGAGCCTCCGGGGCTTGGGGGTGCGCAGGAAGGCCTGCAGCCCGGTGAAGGGTAGCAAGGGGTGACCCCAGCTCTGGGGACAGGGAATCAGGACCAAGGGGCCTGGAAGTGCCTTCGTGCGCTTTCTCAAGACAGACTTTCCTATCTTCCCTCCCTCCATTCATGGGAAGAAAAGAAATGTGTCACAGCAGGCCCTGGGGTTGGTCACCCACTAGCTCCAAGCTGAGATTCCCCAAGAGGGACATGGTCACAGCCACAAGGGCACGCATTTCAGATGCCTCTCAGCTTCCCGAGGACCCAGGAGGAAAGGACCATCTTTATCTTCACGGTGCAGGGAGCTGCAGCTCAGAGGTTCAGGCGCACAGACTCCTGCCCGCGCTCTGGTCAGCATCCGAGGCTCCTGCCAGAGTACGCCCTCTCAACACCCCTCCCAGCGCGCCCATCTCCTCCCTCTCAAATCTCTGGGCCAAGACGTTTGCACCCCTCCAGGTAAAGCCCAACAACTCACTCATTCTTCCCCAGAATCTTTTTGATGTGCTCCATGATCTCCTTATTGCTCTTGGTCTCCACGTCCACAAGGACTTGCTCCCCGGAATCTGGAAACAGGAGGAAAAGGGGGGAAGAAAGCTGAGAACACAGCAAGGCACTGCCTGACCTCAAATGGTGGTGATTTGGGATTTGCTTTTAGAGGAGAAACATTTTAACGGTCAAACAAGTGTTTATGTAACCAATTATGCTGCCCTTTTTCCGTATTTCTTTAGGTGTGAGCACACATAAACTTTAGGTATGTACAAAAGCATACATACTATTTTAAATAGAAACTCCATGTTCATGGATAGAAAGATTTAATATTGTTAAGATGGCAATCCTCCCCAAATCAGTCTATAGATTCAGTCAATCCCTATCAAAAATCTTAGCAGGTGTTTTTGCAGAAAACTGAAAAATTGAGCCTAAAATTCATGCAGAGGACCCAAAACAGCCAAAACAACCTTGACAAACAAGAAAATGGGAGAACATTCACCTCCCAATTTCAATTTTACCACAGGCTACAGTAATCAAGTCTGTGTGGTACTGAGCAAAAGAACAGCCTAGAGCAATGGAACTGAACTGAGTCTAGAAATAAACTCATTAAATTTATGGTCAACTTATTTTCAGCAAAGATGACAAGACAACTCAGTGAGGAAGAAAAGCATATATCTGATAAAGGACTTGTATCCTGACTAAAGAACTCTCACAATTCAATGTCAAAAAGACAATCCAAAGAAAAAATGGGCAAAATATCTGAATAAACATTTAACAACAACAAAAACGGATAATAATAAGCACATGAAAAGATACTCAATATCATCAGTCATTAGGAAAATACAAAATAAAACTACAGTGAGATATTAAGGTGGCTGAAAATTTTTTAAACACAATACCAAGTGCTAGTGAGAATGCAGAGTAACTGGAACTTTCCTAAATTACTGGTAAAAATGCAAAATCTTACAGCCGCATCAGCTAGTGAATTAAGACACACAAAAATAATTAAATGATTGGAAAGGAAGAATTTTATTTGCAGATGTAATGACTGTGTATGTAGAAAATCCTAAGGAATTTAGAAAATAAAAACTTCTAGAAATATGAATTGCCAAGATTGCAAGACACAAGGCCCATGTACAAAATCAGCTGTACTTCTACAAAGTTGTTTGGTGCTAACCAAAGAACTGAAAATTTTAAAAATACCATTTACAGTAGTCACAAAACATACTCAATATTATTAAAATGTCCAGGGACTTCCCTGGCAGCGCAGTGATTAAGAATCCGCCTGCCAATGCAGGGGACATGGGTTCGAGCCCTGGTCCAGGAAGATCCCAAATGCCACGGAGCAACTAAGCCTGTGCACCACAACTACTGAGCTCGCGCGCCTAGAGCTCATGCACCACAACTACTGAGCCCCGCGCGCCTAGATCCCATGCTCCGCAACAAGAGAAGCCACTGCAATGAGAAGCCCACGCACCGCAACAAAGTAGCCCCTGCTCGCCGCAACTAGAGAAAGCCAGTGTACAGCAACGAAGACCCAGTGCAGCCAAAAATAAATTTATTTTTTTTAAATGTCCATTATCCTCAGTGATCTATAATATAATTCCGAACAAAATCCCAGCAAGCTTTTTTTCTAGAAACTGGCAAGCAGATTTTAAAGTCAATATGGAAATAGAACCTACAAGGGCCAAATTAATCTTGGGAAAAAAAGGGGGGGTGGGGAACAAAGTTGGATTTACCCTTCCTGATCTTAAGACATATTATGAAATACAAAAACCAAGACAGTGTGCTATTAGCATAAGGACAGACATATAGCTCAGTTAAAGAGGATGAAGAGTTCAGAAATAAACTCGAATTGCCAAAACAATCTTAAGAAAGAAGAACAGAGCTGGAGGAATCATGCTCTCTGACTTCAGACCACACCAGAAAGCTACAGTATTCAAAACTGCAAGGTACTGGCACAAAAACAGACAGACACATAGACCAGTGTAACAGAATAGGGAGCTTAGAAATAAACCCACGCATTTATGGTCAATTGATCTACCAGAAAGGAGGCAAGAACATACAATGGAGAAAAGACACTCTCTTCAATAAGTGGTGCTGAGAAAACTGGACACCTACATGTAAAAGAATGAAATGAAAACATTTTCTAACACCGTCTACAAAAATAAACAATATGGATTAAAGACCTAAATATAAACACTAGCTACCATAAAATTCCTAGAAAAACATAGAACACTCTTTGAAATAAATCGCAGCAATATTTTGGGGGGGATCTGTCTCCTAAAACGAAATAAAAATAAACAAATGGGACCTAATTAAATTTAAAAGCTTCTGTACAGGGGCTTCCCTGGTGGCGCAGTGGTTGAGAGTCCGCCTGCCAATGCAGGGGACACGGGTTCGTGCCCTGGTCCGGGAAGATCCCACATGCTGCGGAGCAGCTGGGCCCGTGAGCCATGGCCACTGGGCCTACGCGTCCGGAGCCTGTGCTCCGCAATGGGAGAGGCCACAACAGTGAGAGGCCTGCGTACCGCCAAAAAAAAAAAAGCTTCTGTACAGCAAAGGAAAACATAAAACAAAATGAGGGACTTCCCTGGTGGTCCAGTGATTAAGACTCTGCGCTCCCAATGCAAGGGGCCCAGGTTCGATCCCTAGTCAGGGAACTAGATCCCACGTGCTGCAACTAAGAGTTCGCGTGCCGCAACTAAAAGTTTGCGGCAACAAACACCTGGCACAGCCAAGTAAATAAATAAATACTTCACCTGATTAAAAGATGGGCAGGAGAACTGCACAGACATTTTTCCAAAAGGAAATGCAGATGGCCAACAAGCACATTAAAAGATGCTCAAGATACCTAATCATCAGGGAAACGCAACTCAAAAAACCACAATGACATATATCACCTCACAGCTGTCAGAATGGCATTTATCAAAAAGACCACAAATAACAAAGGTTGGTGAGGATGTGGAGAAAAGGGGACCCTTGTACACAGTTGGTCGGAATGTAAATTGGTGCAGCTACTATGGAAAACAGTACGGAGGTTTCTCAAAAAACTAGAAATAGAACCACCACAGGACCCAGCAATTCCACTCCTGAGTATACACCCAAAAAAACCCACACTAATTCAAAAAGATACATGCACCCCAATATTTAAAGCAGCATTATTTATAATTGCCAAGATATGGAAGCATCCTAAATGCCCATCAACAGATGAATGGATAAAGATGTACTACACACACACACACACACACACACACACACACACACACACACAATGGGATATTACTTAGCCATAAAAAAGAATGAAATTTTGCCACCTGCAGCAACATAGATGGACTTGGAGGGCATTATGCTAAGTGAAATTAAGTCAGACAGAGAAAGACAAATACTGTATGATAGCACTTATTTGTGGAATCTAAAAATACAACAGACTTGTGAATATAACAAAAAAGAAGCAGACTCACAGATAGAACAAACGAGTGGTTACCAGTGGGGGGAGGGAAGGAGGGAGGGGAAACATAGGGGTAGGGGAGTAAGAGGTACAAACTATTATATATAAAATTAGCTACAAAGATATACTGTACAATATGGGGAATATAGCCAATATTTTATAACAACTATAAATGGAGTATAACCTTTAAAAATTGTGAATCAATATATTGTACACCTGTAACTTACACAATATTACTGTACATCAATTATACTTTTTTTTTTTTTTTGCTGTGCCATGCAGCTTGCAGGATCTTAGTTCCCTGACCAGGGATTAAACCCACTCCCTTGGCAGTGAAAGCACGGAGTCCTAACCACTGGACCTCCAGGGAATTCTCCCATTTTAACCAGCTTAAAGTGTAAAATTTGGTGGTTTTTAATGCCTTCACAATGTTGTGCATCCATCACCACTATCTAGGTTCCAGCACTTTCTCATGACTCCAAACAGAAACCCTGTACCCATTAAGCAGTCACTTCCAATTCCCCACACCACCCCAGCCCCAGCCCCTGACAACCACTTCCTATCCCTATGGCTCTGTCTGTTCTGGACACCTCACACAAATGGAGTCATACACTATGTGACCTTTTGCATCTGCCTTCTTTCCACTGGCATGTTTTCAAGGTCCATCCGTGTTGTAGCATGTGCCAGTACTTCATTCCTTTTCATGGCTGAATAATATTCCACTGAATGAATATACAGATTTTGTTTATCCATTCATGGTCAATTTTTCTGACAAAGGTGCCAAGGAAATTAAATAAGGGAAAGCACTGTCTTTCAACAAATCACGCTGTAACAGCTGAATATCCCAAATCTAAAACACCTAAAATGAACCGCAATCCTTATCTCACTTAATACACAAATAACGAGATGATAGACCTAAATGTAAATCTAGGACTCTCCCAGTTTTGAAACACAGGAGAAAAATCTTTGTGACTTTGGGGTAGGCAGAGATGTCTTGGACAGGACACAAAAAGTACTAAACATAAAAGAAAACAACTGATAAGCTGGAATTCATCAAAATTGAAACTTCTGCTCTTCAAAAGCCACCATTAAGAAAATGAAAAGGCAGCCACAGACAGAAAATATTCACAATACATCTGACAAAGGAACTGAATACAGAATATACAAACAACACAACAAGAAAAGAGTCCCCACTTTTTTTTTTTTTTGGCGGTACACAGGCCTCTCACTGTTGTGGCCTGTCCCGTTGCAGAGCACAGGCTCTGGACGCGCAGGCTCAGTGGCCATGGCTCATGGGCCTAGCCGCTCCGCAGCATGTGGGATCTTCCCCGACCGGGGCACGAACCCGTGTCCCCTGCATTGGCAGGAAGACCCTCAACCACTGTGCCACCAGGGAAGCCCCCCACTTTTTTTTTTTAGTGGACGAAAGATCCAAACAGACTCTTTACAAAAGAAATAAATGAATGGCCAATAAGCACATGGAAAGATACAGGGAAATGCAAATTAAAATGTCAAGGAGATATACAGGCACTGGAATGGCTGAAAAGACTTATGTGATGACAAGAATGGCTCCCAAAGATACCCCCGCCTAGTCCCCCAGAACTTGCGAATATGACACCTGATGTGTGGCCAAGGGGCCTCTGCAGATGAAATTAAACCTAAGGACCCAGAAATGGGGAGATTCTCCTGGATAATCTGACAGCCCCATTAATCACAAGGTCCTTAAAGTTGGAGACCCTCCTGGGCTGTGGTCAGAGGGACGTGTGACTGTTGGAGAGGGCCAGACACTAACGCAGCTGGCTTTGAGGATGGAGGAAGGGACCATGAGCCAAAGCGTGTGGGGGCCTCGGGCTTCCCTTGTGGCGCAGTGGTTAAGGATCCGCCTGTCAGTGCAGGGGACACGAGTTCAAGCCCTGGTTCGGGAAGATCCCACGTGCCGCAGAGCAACTAGGCCCATGCACCACAACTACTGAGCCTGCGCTCTACAGCCCGCGAGCCACAACTACTGAAGCCCGCACGCCTAGAGCCCGTGCTCTGCAACAAGAAAAGCCACCGCAATGAGAAGCCCACGCACCGCAAAGAAAAGCAGCCCTCACCTGCCGGAACTAGAGAAAGCCCACGTGCAGCCACTTAGACCAAACACAGCCAAAAATAAGACAGAAGGAAAGAATTTAAAAATAAATAAATTAAGGGCTTCCCTGGTGGCGCAGTGGTTGAGAGTCCGCCTGCCGATGCAGGGGACGCGGGTTCGTGCCCCAGACCGGGAAGATCCCACATGCCTCGGAGCGGCTAGGCCCGTGAGCCATGGCCGCTGAGCCTGTGCTCCGCAACGGGAGAGGCCACAACAGTGAGAGGCCCGCGTACCGCAAAAAAATAAATTAATTAATTAATTAAGAATGCGGGGGCCTCTAGAAGCTGGAAAAGGCATGGAAATGGGTTCATCCCTATAGCGCCTCCAGGAAGGAAGGCTCTGCGAACACCTTGATTTTAGCCCATGTTGGACTTCAAACCTACAAAACTAAGATGAGAAATCTGTATTGCTTTAAGCCACCAACCTCGTGGTGATCTTACAGCAGCCACAGGAAATGCAGATGAGCAATAGGACCAGTTTGGGTGAGGATGGGGGGCCAGCAGGACCCCTCACCCTGCGGACTGCAGGGACAAATGGCATAACCATTTTGGAGGCCTGTCTGGATGGTTTCTAAGAAGGTCACGTGCCTATTCTGTGGCCCAGCAAGCCCATCCTGAGCCTGTGCCCAGGAGAACCGAACACCTAGGTCCACAGCAACATGCACCTTCCCAAAACCACCCTCGGCAGGCAGCCGCTAACACCCACCTCGAGCAAGACCCTCCTTGGAGGAATCTCTGAGACCCGCTGCAGCAGCAGCAGAGCCAACCCCACCCGGCTCTCCCAGGTCCACGTCCAGGACCTGCCGCTTCTGCCCAATACGCAGCCAGAGCTTCCTACTGACCGGCCCCGACTTTCTCATTTGAGGCGTCTCCTGGCCAGACCTCCTTCCAGAGATGTCAGACGTGCTTTGCCACCTGAAGACTCTCCCTGCCTGCCCCCCATCTCCAATAAACCTCATACTTGTAGCTCTGTCTTGGCATCTATAGAAAACCCAAATGTTCATCAACAAATGGATGGATAAACTGTGGTATGTTCTGATAATGGAGCACTACGCAGCAATAAAAATGAGTAAGCTACTGATACACATAACGTGGATGAATCTCAAAAAGACAAGTGAAAACCAGACACAAAAGAACGTATACTGTGAGATTCTATATTAGGTTCTGAAACAAATAAAATTAACTAGTCTATGGTGAAAGAACTGCTAACAGAGGGAATTCCCTGGCGGCCCCAGTGCTTAGGACTGTGCTCACTGCTGAGGGCCTGGGTTCAATCCCTGGTTGGGGAACTAAGATTCCACAAGCTGTACAGTGCGGCCAAAAAAAAAAAAAAAGAACTGCTAACAGTGGTTGCCCCTCTTGGGACTGGGAACTGGAAAGCAGTACTGGGAGACTTTTTGGGTCTTCACTGGGAAAGAGTGACACAGGCCCGTCACATCTATCAGAACTCATCACTCCATGCACGTAAGACCTGTCCATTTTATTATGGGTAAATTATACCTCAATAAAGTTAATTTTTTAAAACGCCAACACGAAATATATACACGAAATTGCCAACCACCACCATTCTCCTCGCCTCCACCTTGCTCTATTTTTCTTTTCTCCATAGCACTCATCTTCTAACAAACCATGTTATTGAGTTTCTTGTTCATTCTATCTCCTCCTGCTGGAATATCATCTCTACAAGGCTAGAGATCTTTGTTTGTATGGCTCCCTGACACCCCAAGCACCTAGAACAGTGCCTGCGTCCTAACAGGAACTTGATACATATTTGCTGAATGAATGCAAGAACATCATCATTTTCTTTCCTGATGAATTTCCCAGTCTATACTTCATTTGATTCTCGTAACCGTGTAAGGAAGATGTCTTGCCTTCCCCTAGAAATATGTAAGTGGGAACATTACTCGCTCAGGATCAGAATGACTGAGTAGAGAGTTGGGCTAGAATATATGGTCTTCTGACTTCCAGGCATTGAGCCCAATTTAACTGAATACATCTTCACGTTTGCTCCTCACAGGGAAAGGACAGCATCACGTAAATGCATATGGTCCATAGAGGACACACGCAGACACACACCCTGTTCAAGAGAACGTGGCCAGCACTGAGAGACGTGCCCTGAGAGAAGGGAGAGGCCAATGTAAGGTGTAGGTAAGGTTTCCTGAGTGAAATGGTGCCCAAGCTGAGTCCCAAAGGATTTATTTTTTAATTAAGCAAAGAAAAGTAGAAAGGGGATTTCCAGCAAAGGAACCGATGTGAGCAAAGGCAACAAAGCACAGTGCGGCAAGGAAATTTGGAAAGACTAGCCCATATGACATGAGGCATATGTAGGAGATGTGGCAGCAACAGAGGATGCGGCTGGAGAGGGAAAGACCAGATCTGTGCAGTCACTGTGTGCCAGGTATAAGAGCCAAGGTGACAGGACCAACGTAGGTTTACAAGTGCTCCCATCTCGGCCCCCGCCGACTGCCACAAAGGAGGAACATGGGAGGCAAGTCAGGCCTGGGCCATGGCAGGGGGCCCTGCGCTCACCTAAATAGAACCGCAGGAAGGGTGTTGGCGTCATGTTCTTAAACATCATGATCTGTACCCAGGGGTTCTTATACTGGATCTGAGGTATGTTGAAAAACACGAATTTCCTGCAAAACAGAAGAAATTAAACCCATGAGAGTTTTTAACCTAAAATTGTATGCACCTGTATATTCTTCTAAAGAGAAAGTCCAGAACTCTCATCAGATTCTAAGAGGACCCTGCCCACCCCCCGCGAAAAGGTGGAGGTAGGAAAAGCATGTCTCAGGAATCCACTAACGTGTTGTCTGAATGTGGTGGGTGTTGGGACTCTTGGTTTGTCATTTTAGGGAAAAGAAATCTATATTCCTACCTCATGTTGCATATTAGCCTAAAACTCACCAAAACAGAAGTATAAATATAAAAATGAAACCATGAAATGTCCTCGGTCTTGACTGGTGTGACAGCTGCACAGTGTACTCATATGAGAAGCTGTGTATCTACAGGTGAGCACTTTACGTAAATTATACCACAATTTAAAAATAAATGAAACCATGAAAACAAACATGGGGAATACTTTTACAATCTAGGAGTGGAGAAACCTCTAAACTCAGAAGGTTTAAAACACAGATAAATTTGATTACATTAAAACCTTTGCAAGGGATTTCCCTGGTGGCACAGTGGTTAAGATTCTGCCTGCACCTTTGCAATTAGTCTCTTGATTAAAGTCTCCCCAATGACCCGAATTTAAATGCATTCTCTGCTTCCTGCTGCCACCCTGCTCCCAATACCAGATGATGGAAAGGTGCGAGTGGCACACGGGTAGAAGCATGGTTGCCTGGCTTCACCACTTCCCAGCTGTGTATAACCCAGAGCAAGTTACTGCTGCGTGCCTCAGTGTTTATGCCAACATGGTGGCAACGCAGGACAACCAGTCCAGATAGCAGCTTGTAGTTTATTCTCAAGAAGAAAAGGATAGGATCAACAGAAGGCCTGACTGTGTGACATTTGCTTGGGGAGATGTCCATAACTGGGGCAGAATCTGCAGTTAAAACAAAAGCAATGACAATAACCCCAGGGAAAACAAAAAACTGCAAAAACAAAAAGGAAAAATAATCAAAGTGTTTGATTCAACTGTGTACAGTGTTTACAAAGTCATAATAATTTAACAGTGAATACTGATTTATCCAAAATTCTTAAATGACTATATTGGGAGGATGAGGGGGGGTCGAGTAGTACGCATGTGCTGGGGTAGGGAACAGCAATGCTTCTGGAAGAGCTAAATCCTTGCCTTCCACAGTGACAAGTCAAGAGATAAAGCCTAAAGCTAAGAAAGTAAGGAGGAGCTCTCTAAGTATGGTATTTAACTATATGGGAGTAAAACTCTAATCAAATGGTTAGAGTTGAAAGTTGTTGCCTCTGGAGGATATACAGTGGAGAAAAGACAGCCTCTTCAATAAGTGGTGCTGGGAAAACTGGACAGCTACATGTAAAGGAATGAAATTAGGGCTTGCCAAGTGGCGCAGTGGTTAAGAATCTGTCTGCCAATGCAGGGGACACGGGTTCGAGCCCTGACCTGGGAAGATTCCCGCATGCCGCGGAGCAACTAAGCCCGTGTACCACAACTACTGAGCCTGCGCTCTAGAGCTCATGTACCACAACTACTGAGCCCACGTGCCACAACTACTGAAGCCCATGTGCCTAGAGCCCATGCTCCACAACAAGAGAAGCCACTGCAACAAGAAGCCTGTGCACCGCAACCGAGAGTAGCCCCAGCTCACCACAACCAGAGAAAGCCCACGTGTGGCAACGAAGACCCAATGCAGCCAAAAATTTAAAAATTAAAAATAAATAAATTTATATATAAAAAGAAGAATGAAATTAGAACACTCCCTAACACCATACACAAAAATAAACTCCAAATGGATTAAAGACCTAAATGTAAGACTAGGCACTATAAAACTCTTAGAGGAAAACATACGAAGAACACTCTTGGACATAAAACACAGCAAGATCTTTTTTGACCCACCTTCTAGAGTAATGGAAATAAAAACAAAAATAAACAAATGGGACCTAATGAAACTTCAAAGCTTTTGCACAGCAAAGGAAACCATAAACAAGACGAAAAGACAACCCTCAGAATGGGAGAAAATATTTGCAAACGAATCAATGGACAAAGGATTAATCTCCAAAACAGACAAACAGCTCATGCAGCTCAATATTAAAAAAAAAAACCCAATCAAAGAATGGGCAGAAGACCTAAGTAGACATTTCTCCAAAGAAGACATACAGATGGCCAAGAAGCATATGAAAAGATACTCAACATCACTAATTATTAAAGAAATGCAAACCAAAACTACAATGAGGGGGCTTCCCTGGCAGCACAGCGGTTAAGAATCTGCCTGCCAAAGCAGGGGACACGGATTCGAGCCCGGGAAGATCCCACATGCCGCAGAGCAACTAAGCCCGTGCACCACAACTACTCAGCCTGAGCGCCTAGAGCCCGTGCTCCACAACAAGAAGCCACCACAGGTAGAAGCACACGCACCGCAACGAAGAGTAGCCCCCGCTCCCCAGAACTAGAGAAAGCCCACGCACAGCAACAAAGACCCAACGTAGCCAAAAATAAATAAATAGATAAATAAATTTTAAAAAAACAATGAGGTATCACCTACAATGAGTATCACCTCACACGGGTTAGAATGGGCATCATCAGAAAATCTACAAACAATAAATGCTGGTGTGGAGAAAAGGGAACCCTCTTGCACTGTTGGTGAGAATGTAATTTGATACAGCCAATATGGAGAACAGTATGGAGGCTCCTTAAAAAACTAAAAATAATTACCATATGACCCAGCAATCCCACTATTGGGCATATACCAAGAGAAAACCATAATTCAAAAAGACACATGCAGGGCTTCACAACTAGAGAAAGCCCGCGTGCAGCAATGAAGACCCAACGCAGCCAAAAATAAATAAATTAATTAATTTTTAAAAAGGCCAGAAAAGTAAACTGCCCTGGGTCACATTACCAGTAAGTCAAACAATCAGGGCTGTGAACATTGGGCTCCATCACTATCAAATTCACCTGGATCCTGAGGCACAAGGCTGGACACAGAACTCAATAAATTCCAGCAGCTGTTACTTCTCCCACTGCATCTTAAGTGCAAGAACACCTGGCAGAGGTGAGGAGGAACTTAGCTCTCAGACTCTGAATAAGGCAGCTCCCCACACACCCAGCAAATACCCTAACACTTGCTAGCCCGGTGCTGTACTGGCCACTGGCACTTGGAATGGAGGGCCAGATGAAGTGCTGAGGGCACATGAACAAGCAAAGAAAGGCCGGTGGGGCTACAAAGAGCAAGTCTGACAGGCTCAAACCCAAAGGGCACCAGTGGGACAGCCAAGCCCTTATCACTAGGAACAGTGAAACACAGAACGGCTGTTTGGCTCCTATTTACCCAGAGAGTATTAAACTGCTTGAGCATGCGAGTATGTGCAGGCCTATTTTGATTGGCTGGCCATTTAAAAACCAAAGATTTACATAAAAATCTGAATTTCTGGCTCCTTGATAAGTCAGAAATTCTCCATGGAGCCCAAAGAGCTAAGATGTAGCCAAGCAGTGAATGGCCCCGTGAGGCAAGGCACGATTTCAGTTTACTGCAGGTCCATCCAGACTGTCTCCCTCCTTTGTTTGTACCTGCCTGGCCTCTTCCCTGTGACTCCTGGTGCGGATGGATGGATGGATGGATGGATAGATGGATGGATGCAAAGTTGGTTATGGAGGAGTATCTGGGTGCCTATTCAGCCCTAAGACTGAGTCTTCTAGGAAGCCCTCATCCCAGCTGACGCCACGCAAGTAGGTGCAAGTTCTTGCGTTGTCCTGTGGAAAGCAAACGGCTAGGGGGTAGCTGCGGGCTCTCCTGAACAGCCCTGCACTGAATGCCGCGCCATGTGGGGACCACCCTCCACAGGCAGTTGCTCTCCAGGCTCACTCTGATCCATCCCACATACCCAATCCCAAAGTTTCTGAAAGCCAAGACTTGAATTCCCAGCAACAACACGGGGCCCAGCATCAGCAGGCACTCAGTAAGTTTATGCCTAATACCTGAAAAGCCCAAAGCACTGCTGCTGCCTCAAGGTTCAGTTCAAACCTTTCACTTGTAAGTTCCATTCAATGAGTCCCGACTCTGCTGCGGGCTGAAAAGCATTAAGGAGTTGGGGCGGGGGCCGCTGCGCAGCTCACAGACAGTCCCTTCACTCTAAGGGTCACGAGTCCTTCGAGAACGAAGCCCCCTTTCAGAACCGCCCCCTCACCAGCTGACTATGTTACCCTGCACAAGCCGGTTCCTTAACCTCCTGCGTTCCTTCATCCCTGGAGTGAAGAGAACAGTGGGGTTTCTGTAGAAATCAAACGAGCTAGTGCACGAGGAGCATTCAGAAACGCGCTGCACGTACGAGGACCCAATAAATGCCAGCAGCTGTTACCCCTGCCACTGCACCCCCAAATCGGCCCTGGGACATAGGTATCACCCCGGTCGCAACACTGAGGAAAAGCAACTCTCCCAAAGCCAGCAGGTGGAAGAGCCCGGACCCCAGCGGGTCGGTAGCCCCAGGCTGGGCTCCACCCGGACCGCGCGCCGCCCGCGGGGCACGGGTGGCGGAGGAGGCTTCGGCCTCCCCGTCAGCGCTGCCCCCACCCGGCGCGACGCGGCCCTGAGGTCCTCTTCTGCTGTGGAACCCGGGGCAGCTGCCCGTCCGTGCAATGGGGGCCCTGGCGCCAGCGCAGCGCCAGGTCTCAATGACTCGCAAGTTATTGGTGGGACCCGGCGGCTCGGACTGACCTGGCGCCCTCTCCCAACTCCCCGTGCGTATTGTAGTTCACCGTCATGACCTTCACCGAGTCTTTGAACACTACGTCCCCCTGGCCCAGGTACTGCAGGGTGCGGCGTATCGGGAAACGGCCCTTCATGGACATGGCGGCTGCGGCGGAGGGGCCGGACCGCCGGCCGCGAGCCCAGCAGCGCGGAGAGACGAGCTCAGCTGACGCCGCCCGGGCAGCCCTCTCGCCGCTTCTCCTCCGCGCCGATTTCCACTTCCCGCGCAGACTCGCAGGGGACGCCTCACGGCGGGCAGCGCACGCGCCGCGGAGCGGCCTGGGACTTGTAGTACTGGCTGGCAGAGTCTTCCTTAGGCGGGGGCGGTGGGAGCCGGCACGTACGCCTAAGCGTTAAAGCTCCTATTGGAACGTTAAGGTTTTCACGATTTGTGAATCAAGTCTTTCTCCCCTCCGCCAAGGGAAAATATTTTATATAGGCTCAAACTCATTCAGACAACTTACAGTAGGAAATAATTCAGGAGAGCTGAGTTTGAACACCAAGTCGGCTAGTTCTGTTCAACCTCAAATATGTCAGTTTTGCTCTCTCAACTTCTCCAGTTTTAAAGTGAAGGGTTAGAACTAAGCAATTTCTAACATTGACTTAAAAAAAAAAAAATTAAAAACCTGACTTGCAAAAGGAAAAAAAAAAAAGATTTTGGGATCCACTCCTTTCTAGTTTAGCCACTTGAGAGCTCTGGACCTCAATTTCTTGAAAAGCAAAAGGTGGATGAGATGCTTTTCCTACTGATCTGAGAACGTTCTCCTTCACTTTTGAAGGATAATTTTGTCAGATATAGAATTCTAGGTTGGGGGTTGGGAGGCATCTTTCAACACTTTATTTCACTCCACTCTCTTCTTGCATGGTTTCTGATGAGTAGTCAGCTCTCTTTTTTCCACTATAGGTAAGATGGTTTTTTCTTCTGGTTTCTTTCAAGATTTTCTTTGCCTTTGGTTGATAGAGTTTGAATAAGATATACCTAGGTGTATATTTTTGGTATTTATCCTGCTTGGTGTTCTCTGAGCTTCCTGGACCTGTGGTGTAGTGACTGTCATTAATTTTGGAAAGTTCTTGACCATTATTACTTTAAATATTTTTCTTTATTCTCTCATTTTTTTTTCTCTTTCTGGTATTCCAATTATGCATGTTTTACCTCTTCTGAAATTGTCCCATAGTTCTTGGATGTTCTATTTGGTGTTTTTGTTGTTCTTCATTCTTTTTTCCCTCTGCTTTGCAGTAGGGAAGTTTCTATTGACCTATCTCCAGACTCACTGATTCTTTCCTTGACTGTGTCAACTGATGAGCTCATCAGAGGCATTGTTTGTTAGTCTTTTTTATTTCTAGCATTTCCTTCCAATCTTTCTTAGAGTTTCCTTATCTCTGCTGACATTACCCATCTGTTCTTGCATATTATTTACTTTTACCACTGGACTCTTTAACATATTAATCATTTAAGTTTTCTATCTGATAACACCAACATCTGTGTAACATCTGAATCTGGTTCTGATATGTGCTTTGTCTTATCAGACTGTGGGGTTTTCCCTTACCCTTTTTAGCACACTTAAAATTTTTTGTTGAAAGTGAGACATTATTGGCTGTATTAGGTAATAGGAACTGAGGTAAATAAGCCTCTACTATGAGGGGTTATGTTATTCTGGCTAGAAGTAGAGCTGTGTTTGTTTGCTGTAGCTGTAGGCCCCAGAGGCTTCAAATTCCTCTAGTGTCTGTTTTTGTCTCTCTTGACTTTGGGCTTCCCGAGTCTGTGTTTTGTAGCTCTTTTAGCTGTAATGCATCCTTATACTGGAGTTCTGTTGGTGTGGTAGTAAGGTATGGTGGCAGGGAAGCATTCTGTAATTTTATGGTGAAATTTCAGTATTTTAGTGGGTCTGTGTCCTTGGGCTGTGACCTTCCTGTCTCTGAAACCCCCTCTGTGATACAGAATAAGAAATATGTTTGGTCTTTGTTCCCAGCTCCTGGCCAGAGCTCCTAAAACTCTTATAATTTCCTTAATGATAAGAGTGATAGGAGCTTCTTTTGTCATATCTAATTTTTGCCCCTGTTCCTGAAACAGCTCTGGAAAGATGAAGGTGTGAAAGGAGTGGCTTTTGTTATTCATAATAAGCCCCTTTCAACCTCTGACCTCCAGGAAGGTAACAGGGGCTAAGGGTTGAGTTAATCGCTAATGGCCAAAAGATTCAATCAATCATGCCTACGTAATAAAGCCTTCATTATAAAAACCCTAATTTAGGGAGTTGGAGAGCTTACAAGTTGGTGAACACACCATGGTGCTGGAGAGTGATGTGCCCAGAGTGGGGCATAGGAGCTCCACGCCCCTTCCTATACCTTGCCCTATGCATCTCTTCCGTCTGGCTGTTCCTAAGTTGTCTTCTTTTACAATAAACCAATAATCTAGTAAGTGAACTGTGTCCCTGAGTTCTGTGAGCCATTATAGCAAATTACCAAAACCAAGGAGGAGTTGTAGAAACCCCTGATTCATAGAAGGTCAGAAGTACCTGAGGCCCCGCATTTGTGACTGGCATCTGAAGTGGAGGGGCAGTCTTGGTGGACTGAGCCCTTAACGTGTGGGATCTGATGGTAACTCCAGGTAGACAGTGTCAGAATTGAACTGAATTGTTGGACACCCAGCTGAGTTGGAGAATTGGTCATTGTGGAAACCCCACCCCGCCCCGTATTGGGCTTCCCTGGTGGCGCAGTGGTTGAGAGTCCACCTGCCGATGCAGGGGACACGGGTTCGTGCCCCGGTCCGGGAAGATCCCACATGCCGCGGAGCGGCTGGGCCCGTGAGCCATGGCCGCTGAGCCTTCGCGTCCGGAGCCTGTGCTCGGCAACGGCAGAGGCCACAGCAGTGAGGCCCGCGTACCGCAAAAATCAAAAACAAAACCCCCGTATTTAGTGTCAGAAGAGTGTGTGAGTAGAATGTATAGAAAAACATGAGTTTTCAATTTTACCCTCCCCACACTTGGATGAAACAGGAAGGCTAGAGGGGACTAGTGTGAAATGCCCTTCCCCAGGTGGGGTTAGACTCTGGTAAACCTCCCAGCCCCCCCCCCCAACAGGCCTTTGTTATGGAGAATGCTCTGAGTTTATTTTACAAAGGTAACTCTTCCCCCTTTCCCTGCCAAAGCAATTAGCTATGAAAACCAGGTGGGGTTCCAGGATGTAAAACCCCTGAGAGTGTGGGGTGTCCTTAGGCTGACCCCCAGGGGTTTCTCACTCCCATGCTAGTCCACACTCAGCCTCCAGCAATTCAGCAAGTATTCCTAGCAGCTCTGGCTCCAGTGGCTTCTGCTTCAGGTAAGCAGATCTTGGCTGCGATTCTGCATTCACCTCTCCACATTTCTAGGTGGCAGCAGGCCCTGCAAACGCAGTTCTCTGATGGATCCAAAGAGTCATTAACTTTCAGTTTGCCCAGCTTTTCCTTGTGGTAAGGACAGAAGTGACAACTGCCACTCTTTGCATGCCTGAGCTGAAGCCAGAAGTCCTTTCTGAAGTATTTTTCAAAACCATGCTAGGCTACTGAAGAGTTTTAGTCAGAAGAGCTTTTGACCTTAAAGTTCAGAGGAGGTGCTTCCTATGGATGAAATATCCTACCCCATGTGAGAAACCTGAGTGTCCAGACACTAAGCAGGCCAGGGAAGCTTGGGTTTTGGAGGCAGACAGACCTGGGCTGGAATCCCAGCGGTGTAACCCTGAGCAGGCTTAACCTCACCACACTCATTTTTTCATCTGTAAACCGGAGCTCTTGGGAGGATTAAAGGAGGTACGCATACATAATACTTGGCATTCTGTCTGACCCACAGTGAGCGCTAAATATTACCTCCTCCTGGTTTAGTCCTGGGAGGTCTCAAAGGTCCAAGTGATGGCAATATCAGAGATCCACTCAGCAGCTTCCAATCTCTTTCCCCGTCGCCCATTTCCACTACCTTTGGGCCACAAACCTTGCTTGAGCACTCCCACTGTACCTGACCCACGTGGAACCCTCCTTGCTACATAGGGCAAGCGAGTGAGGCAGACCGGGCTTTAAATCCTCCTTCCACCACTGACTGGCTTTTGGACCCCAGCCAGGCTCATCTCTCTCAACCAGTTTCTCCATCTGTCAGCTGAACACCTGATTAACCACCTCAAAGGATTTTTGCACGACACCTGCCTAAGACAGTTCATTTAATCAACACTGCAGGAATAACTAAAGATAAGGACAGAACTTGAACCCATATTTAACCCCTGTTAAGAGCCCAATGACCTTGATTTTGTCCGGAGGCCTTAACCACACAGGTAACACAGGAGCTGGGCTGTCTTCTGATACTCAGAAGTTATTAAGAAAGGAGGGGAGAGATGTTATCTGGTAATTCTTACTCGCAACATGTGTGCACATACTCACACACACCCCCAACCACTAACATGTTATTTTATTTTTTAAAAAAAGGTTCCAATACAAGGCCTCAGAGTAGTGCATGCAAATCAATGACCTTCAAACTGTCTGTCACTGTCAGATGACCAGCACAATCTACTACCACAGTCTGTGACCTGGTAAAGAGACCAGCTTCTCACCCTGAGTCCCATCACCTATGCCAACGTCCAACCTACCACGTGGCTCTTGATTGATTCAGGTACATTTTAGTATCTGAACAGAAGAGACACATTGAGCAGCAAGCATAATGAGTAAGCGTCCTTAGTGTATTAGACAAGGGAAAATACAGACAAGGCATAAAAGGGAAAAGCCAGCTTCATTTGATGCCTGAATCCCCAAAGTCTCTTGCATACATGATCTGTGTCTAGGGACATCTGCCAACGTCGTATCAAGGACTTGCCCATTTTCCGATGAGATGGAGCTGTTTGCGATGAAGGACTGCAGGACGGGGGAACTATTCACACGAGGCAAAAACCTGAAGTTGTGGTTGCAATTCATAGGCCATCTCTTCCCTGACGTTAACCCATCCCTGTAAATCCAACTTTGTGCCCGTGTGAATTCCGAGGGATAGAAAATTCTAACTCCGGTCATGTCGGTGATTATAGGAGAATATAGCCATGGAAGAATTAAATGGAAAAATACAGCCGTGGAAGAATTCAATCACATCAGAGGGTTTTAGTTTGATTTAGTATATTCAGTTAAAAAATTTCTTTTCTTTAGCTTAAAAA